AAATATCGAAAGAATTTGCATGTTTCTGTAACAATGTGAGCAACTGCTGCCTCTGTGAATATGTCAATTCGCTGCTGATAGTGGTGGTAAAGGCGGAGGAAGAAACATGCTCACCGAGGCAAGGTTCTTTGGATGCGATGGCCTGAAGTGGCGTGACGAGTACAGGCTCGAAGTCAGCAACACGGGCCACAGTAGTGCCCTGTGGCAGTAAGGTCTCCGGCGTAGAGTTGACAGCGGTGACAAGTGCCGAGCCATTGCAAAAACGAACGACACCGGACGGAAGAACTATACCTTTGCGAACGCAAAGTAGTGACGGTGAGACCAATACATCCCCGTGATAGATGTCGTTGGACGTAATGGTGACAATTTGCTCTTGTAGTGGAGGGAGTTTGATGTCTTTCGCAGCGACCAGACGAAGTGGCTTCTGATTATCGTCGTCAAGCATGTAGTCGGTGTCAGCGAGGTAAACGACGCGTTGTCCACAACAAATCGCCGCGGAAGCAGATGATAGAAAATCCCACCCTAAAATTAGTTGGTGAGAGCAGCGGGACAGGACAGCAAACTGGACATGATGGCGGATGCCGTCGATAAAAACACGCACAGTACAAAGCGCGGAAGGGCGAATTATGTTCCCCTGGGCAGCAACTAACGTGGGACCATCGTAAGGCGTCATTACTTTCCTTAAATGTTCACACAAATCAGCACGTATCACAGACAATGTCGCACCTGTGTCCACTAAAGCATCGACTCGCACTCCTTCCACTTTCACAGAAACCATGTTACACGGGCCTAATGGAGGAATTTCAGTTCTAATTCCGAATGCAGTTTTTCCTCCACAAACTGCATCACTTAGTTTTCCGAATGAATATCAGAGGCGAATGAGGCGGGCCGAAGTGGAGAAGTGGAACGGCGGAAGGGCGAAGGCGAGCGGCGTCTCGTGTTTCGGCTGTTTCGTGGTGCAGTCGATGCAGGAGGAGATGGAGACCGGTGCGGGGGAGACGAATAACGCCGACCTTGATAAGACGCCCCGTTGTACAAATCCCGTTCACGCACATCATTCCGACGCTCATCTTGCTGGCGCTTCCGGCAGAAACGAGATATGTGGCCGCGATAGCCACAGTAGTAGCATACAGGGCGAGACGAGCGCCACGGTGGAGAATAGAAAGCATTCGGGGCACTTGGAGATAGCGCGGTCAGGTGGGCCGAAGGGTCAGGAGGCACGGAATGGTAGTTCACAGGGGTAGCGGCAGCAACTGACGCGTAGGATGGACGTGGCAATGTCGCGTGGGCGTCGCTGGGAGGCACGGCAGCAGCTTCAGGGTACGTGGCTAAAGGGTGAGAAGCAGGTGGCTGTACGGGCGCAGAGCCAGTCAGGGATGTAAGTTCCTCCCTGATGATGTCACGTAAGGGCATTCCCGAAGGCTGTGTAGGTCGCGGTGTAGGAGGTGTGAAGCCCATGGACCGCAATTCTTTGCGTATAATGTCCCGGATGAGGTCACGCAGATGGCCATCTGACGTGGAGTGGTGGTCGCCGATGTCTGGTTGAAGGCGGACGGAGTCCAGCGCATCAAGGCGCTGGCATGTCGCAACGACATCAGCGATGGTAGCTGGGTTTTGCACAGCGAGGGCATTAAAGGCAACAGGCCCAATGCCTTTCAATATGTGGCGCACTTTGTCCGATTCCGGCATGGATTTATTGACACGCCGGCAGAGTGCGAGGACATCCTCGATGTATACGATTCACCGGGATGTTGTCGGCGAGTATCGAGTGTCCTCTTCGCGACGGCGGATCGAATGTCTGGTGTCCCAAAGACGTGCCGCAGCTGCTGCTGGAAGGTAGCCCAGTCGGGTAAGTCAACAACATGGTTAAAATACCATGTCTTCGCGACTCCGACCAGATAAAAAGGGACGTAGCGCAGTTTGGCGGCCTCGTCCCACCTATTAGCGGCACTTACGCGGTCGTAGTCATCAAGCCAGTCTTCTACGTCTTCTCCCCGAAGACCAGCGAAGAGCGGGGGTTCCCGCTGATGTCCGTGTATGTAAGTAGGAGGGGCAGCTTGCGGCGGTGCGTGGTTGATGACATCAGTGCCGGCAGGCTCGGTCTGGGACATGCTGCCTGACTGTGGGCGCAAGCGGCGGCCTGAAACGAAGCTCCAGGGGGTATAGCGGGCTGCGGGAGGTCAGAGGACCGAAAATCCACCTCCACCACGTATGAAGTCTTGGTAGTCTTGGCTGCGACAGCGTTTATTTGAGGAAAGACCTCGCAAAACGAACGGGCAGAGCCAGCACACAGACGATGACGATGATGATGACCCAGAGTGGCAATGAGGGCAAAGAGACAAGCGGATGATGGTGATTGTGATTATGTAGAGATGAGGACGATGTAAGTTACAAATGCCCACAATATATATATATATATATATATATATATATATATATATATATATATATATATATATATATATATATATATATATATATATATATATATAGCGTCGAGGCCACTGCGCATGCGTGAGGCCCAAACATGATTTGTGTTTTTGCGAACATTGGGCACTGTATTTCTTGAATTTAGCGGGAGCCTCAAAGCCTGCTCCAAAAGCTTCACTACAAAAACGACAGCCCTCGGCCTATAGGCTATAGAGTGACCTATTATAAGGGGAGTACAACACTGCGGGGGATCGGGCCTATCCGAAAACCCGGGCCCAGAACGGCCCATGGACCGGGCCGGGTAAAGTAGTTTTCCCGGCGGGCCGTGACCGGGCATGAAGCTGCGCGCTTAGGACTGGGCCCGGGTTTGAGGTGTCGGCTCGGGTCGGGCCGGGCGTGGGCATTGCTCAGTTTTAAATGAATACGAAAGTGAAAGCACTGACTTGGCTTAGACTGACAAAGTGTTCTCTGAGAACTTGAATGTAATTAATTTCGCCACTAAAGGTTTAATGATAGAAGAGAAAATCAAGATTAAAGTTCCATTTTTAGAATTTCGCCATGGATTGCAACCTGTATTGATATGTGGAGTTTAACGTCCCAAAACCACCATATGATTATGAGAGACGCCGTAGTGGAGGGCTCCGGAAATTCTGACCACCTGGGGTTCTTTAACGTGCACCCAAATCTGAGCACACGGGCCTACAACATTTCCGCCTCCATCGGAAATGCAGCCGCCGCAGCCGGGATTCGAACCCGCGACGTGCGGGTCAGCAGCCGAGTACCTTAGCCACTAGACCACCGCGGCGGGGCAAGAATTAAATTATCGAAAGCAATGACACATCATTTTAATGTGGCAGGTACCAACATCGGTGACCTCGAACTTTACGTTCTCCAGTCAAACTTTCGTTTCCCAAGTTTAATATATTTCAGCCAGCAGGTATTAACGTTTCAAAAGGTGCTCTCGAGTCCGCGCGATATTTTACATGATCTCTAACTTACCATTGTTAAGCGATGCTTTTAACCGAACAATCAATCGTGGCGACTTCTCATTGTATCCCATCACCCTCCTCCCCTTATCGTTGTTGTTACCCTTTACTTGAATTGGGGGAGAGTGTACGAGACACACACACACAAGCACTAAAGAAACCAGTTGCAGCCTCGAAAAAGACAAGACCGCTTCTCGAAACATTGGTTCCAGCACCGAGTCCCTAGTTTTAAGTATGAAAGTCAGTGGAGGAATGGCTACGTACCATGCACTGAAAGGCACGACGCTTCACGTTCTGGAAGTATATGAGTGTCGCAGTAGGAAAGTGCAGAAAGTGTTCACGCCAGCATTTCCTCGACTGCGATCCACTAAACAGTCACGAAGAAAAAGAACAGAGTCATATAATTAAAACATATGCGAGCACAACATTACTAAGGTCCAATGCAGCTCAGCGTCTCTAGGCCAGAGGACACCTACCACTGACTCGTCTACTCCGACGTGGGGACCAGAACTTTCTATAATGACCTATAAAAAATTGGAAGTACGCGTGTAGCTATGAAAGTGCTGTGTTAGACGTGCGGGTGAATTTCACACATGCGACAGTATCATGACTTGATAGTAATGAAGGACAATGTCATAACTTTTGCATTTTGGAAACGCTGAGATTTACTTACTTTTTTTTCTACTTCTTTCCGCATTTGCTTCTTTCCAATTGCGTCAAGCAATATTGTTCAATAAAACTTCATCGTATTCCCAGTTATCGTTTAACATAACTAATTACGGAAAGCCCGCAAGGTCATTCGCAAGAAACAGCAACGAATGCTGCAAACGTACGCGGCAAAACCGTTCTTGCCCCTCCCAACATGGTTTACTTTACACAGTTCAAGTGGTAGCCATAGAAAACCCTATCATGCTACACTCTAATCATGCTCAAGAAGCTTTTTGAAATACCTCCTTGTTACATAAACTAGTCCAAAAATAACAAGCAAATCGAACGCACAGTTTTAGAAGACCATGAAGCACAAGAAAAATGCCCCGCTCTTTGGCCAGGCAGCCTTGAATTTTGATTTCCCGCCCGTTCTGTGCGAACATGCGCAGTGCGACCGAATACAACCACAGACAACGTTGGTCACAACTTGCTGAGCAAAAAAAAAAAATAGCCCTTGTAAATTTCTGGCTGCGCAAAAGTACTGTCTAAACTTCTGACACCGACTTGTACGGAGCCAGAAATTAAGTATGCCATACTTTGTACTTACGCAAGTTCCTATACGTTAGTTTCATTACACAAATTACGATCATGCAAGTGGTTCAGAGTGCGTCAAAATTTTTTCCCACTTCTCGATGTTAGAGTACCTCGACACCCTACTCGATGTGCTCTCCTTCACTCATAGCCTCACCCCATCTACAAGGCTACGACCGGCGAAATGTTCACTAAAGTTTGCTCAACCGGAATATTATCTCTGAGGCAACGTCTCAGGTCACTTACATCTAGTCGTCGCAAGGGGGACCAACAGCGGAAGCGTCTGCTTTGCGCGTCTGCTTCTTAACTTGCCATGTGACTTCCGCTTGAAGTGGCAGAGAAAAAGCAACAGGGCCGGAGTCGCTATGTAGCTGCCAGAACTCCCTCGTCTGACGTTTCTTGGCACTTGGCGTTGTTCAACGGTACGATCTGTGCCGCGAAACCTGTCAAGACAGCTGGTGATCGTAACTTTGCGTTCCACATTTGAGAAGCGTTGTTCGGTCTGCTTTAAAGTCTGGACATCCCGAAAGAAGGTCACAACAGCCGCCCGAGTTCGTGGAAGCGAAAGAAACAACACTATGGTCGATTCCTACGCGCGTTGAGACCCGAAGGTATGTCGGATATTTCTTCTCTGAACTGTCAAGCACTTTCGTAGGGCCTTGTTATTTAAGGGTAGCATTGTCAATCTTGTCGCTTGATGTCGCCTCTTTTCGTTTCGTTCTGATTTAACATTACGCTGCGATGTGTTACATCGAAACCTAACTGGTGATCTCATTTTGTTATGTTTGTATTACTACATTATTTTCGTGACGTGTATTTCCTTTTCTCACTCATTTATGAGTGATATGTAATGCGGTGATCTAAATTAAGCAGCTTTACAGACAAGGCTCTGGGGGATTATCAGAAGCGGCGCAAGTCGATCGTTGACCTACGCAGCTGTGAGTTCACTGTTTATATTGAGTGCGTGAAAACTGCGGACCACCGCCTTGCGGCCTTGTTCGAAGGAAACAAACACTTCTCGTAGATACAGCTTGCCCATCTTTTGCGTATGACGAGAGAGCAAGTCACCCGATCGCGCAAACGGACATCAAAGAAGCGCGGCCGGTGGAACTATCTCAAGTTTTACTACTTTCTCTGTGAGTCACGCTGCTCAGCTGACTTGAGAAAGGGCGTACGTGTATGCATGTTTGCTGCTCGCGCGAAAGGCGCGTGACAGCCGCGAGTGGAGGCTTTGGGTGTTTAGTTTCGTTGGTCAGCCAGTTAGCGGCGCCGAAAACAGGATGTCGGCAAGCCCCCGCCCAATTTTGTTGCTCCGCGTTTCGCAATTTGCCGCAGATGCCTTCTCAACTCATTGCCAAAGCTATAGTTCCGAAATCCTATGTAGGCACGAGTTCGTTTCTCTGAGTTGAGTTTTCTTTGTAACCGACGTTTTAGACGGCAAATTTGTTACACTTGTTTATGGGTTATCTTCCAAGAATACCTACATCACAATGTGATGACATTCCATAGTTAGCGGTCTAGTAAATTCTTTTTTTTTTGTGCGAAAATTCAAAGCAAGATAGAATACAGGATGTAGTGCTACTCTAAACTGACACCATTATGGCTAACACCTCTCCGCATAAAAATCCAGGCTGGAGGATTGTGCCTCGAAAGCATCAAGAAATATAGATCAAAAGAGTGATGGTATCCTGGCTGCATATAAGAGGGTAAATTTCATTGTGTGTCAAGAACTTCGGCACGTGTACACCTGCACATTTTGCCGTAGTTGTGCTGAATGGGAACTTGTTCCTGCTTGCTGAGACTGCTATTGTTCTCTAGGGCCCTCATTAATGCAATGGCCAGTTTGCCCAACATGTGTTGTTTACGAGATTCTGTTAACGTATGGTAAACTATAAGAACTACATTCATCAAATGTGGGATTTTTTTTGACAGCCTGGTTTCTTGCATAAGATATATAGTTATACGCACTGACAATTTGAGTGAAGCAGAAAAGAAAGTAGTCTCAGTATATAGCAGCCATGTTTTTAAAATGATGCGAAACTCTAAGGCATCTTGCAAAGGGGAGCACAGAAGCTGACCAGGAGAAAGTGCACGGGACAGGAAAGACGCTCTATGGAATGTATAGTAGTGCTTCAGGCATCTTAATTTGCCCGATCATATTGCTTTTGTGTCGCTTGTCTTTCACTTTCCGAAACAAGGCCTTAAAGCATCCAACAACAACACTGCACTTGATTAACCCACAGCGTGCACCCTCTGCAGTAAATCTACAGTTCATAGTTGGAGGGGGCGATTTGATTAGGGGAGGTTCTAAGACACATCTACACAGTGGTATGTTTCTGAGTGTGCGCACAGGTAAGGTACAAGATGCTGACATGTTTGTGATGAGTACATCCAACTAGTGTGGCCTGCTTATGAAGATAGTTCCTAATTTAAAGCTTAGTTTTCTATCACTTGGGAGCTTGTTTGTAAAGGTTAAACCTTTGTTACTTACTGTGAAAACTTTTAGAATTTCATCTGCTGTAACAGGGCATTTGTTGTTACTCTGTTTTATCAAAACAGGAAAATCCTTCAAGTGTTTATAATCTTAACATGGCCAGTGCCTAGAGCATTTACAAGGACCCTGTCTATCTAGACAAGAAAAAAAAGAGAAAGGGTACGTAGAGTAAGTGCTATGCACAGTGCAATACAGACCTTTTTTTTTATTGAATAACTTACATTCAGATCAGATAAAAGCTGCTCCTACACAACACTAAAGCAGTGACATAAAATTTCCTAAGTCTATCTGGTTACATTGAAGATACTGCCACTTGAGAGAATGATCGGTAGTATATTTTGTCTCTTGGGTCTGGTTGTGTCAGTGTTGCCTCCTTGGCCGTGTACTGCTCAGAATCTTTATTTCTAATTTATGAACTATTTAATGAATTCGCTCTTGATTTGTATGTCTTGGTGACTCATTGTGCCCCCCGAATGACTGCACGCACTTGCAATTTTCTACATATAGGAGTTAGTCATAAATGAAGGGATTAGTTAATGCCTTGCCCGGCCATTGTTATTATAAAACTGACATTTACCTAATTGCACTTGTATTTTAGATTTCTAAAGTGGAGAACGGCACTTGAACATCATAGCAATGGGCTTTCATTTTTTATTCCGATGTGAAATTCCACACCTACAAGTCAACATCACACACACTTTTTATTTTTCCAGTGTTCTTCTTCCTTTTGTACATCGAACTGTATGTATGTACGTCTAACGTTATTGTGAACTAGACCTCATTTGTGCGGAATAGTGAGTTATGTATTTGTGATGGATGATTGGAGCCTTGACTGAAGTTATGGTCGCAAGCTGTGTCGATATCTTTAAATGTGAAGTGCGAAACTGTGGGACTGATGAAAAGGGAATGGACACGAGTGCTTTATGCCTGATACTTCAACCTTTGCATATTGCCAGACAAGTGCACTAAGGAACCTCAAACATTTGCTGTTTTTTTTTTTCAAAGAGGAATGCATCTGTCAGAAAAGCTTACTTGCTAGCTGATCTCTATCCCACCATCCACTTGTACCTTGTTCTGATATTTCTTGAGATAAGGCACTTGAGTTTGGGACCCTCGAGAAAGGTGATACGTTAACTTTCCACCAGTGTGCAAAAAGCGCTTGCCTATTCCTTCCACATTCGATTTCCATGTGCTGTGCGGAATGCAGTCATATGCATCATTATGAAAAAGATCTTTTAGATTTCTTACTTTATCTGCACCTTTGCACACTTACAGTTTTGATTAGAAAACCAGAATTATCATAGCAAATGTGTGCAAGAAACTTTAGGTTGAAAATAAGTTAAATAGTCTATGCTATAGTGTCTAGATTGTCAGCAATAATAATGACAAAGTCTTTTGAACATAGAAACCTTGTCTTCTTATCTATCACTGTAAACCAGTTAGGCTGTCATGACACACAATGTATATTAAAACTTGGAGTATAAATGTGCTCATAACTCAGTGACTAGCAGAACTGCTGAGCTGACACATCGAGAGCACATTTGTATACTAAGAAAACATCTCAGTAGTACTATTAGTGCTTTAACTAAGTTTTCAAATATGTTGTGTGTCATGGACACATTGCTGATTTATAGTTATAGATAGGTCAGTGTTAGAAAAACTTTGACATTAAAATTGCTTATAGACTAGACATTGTTCTGCAAAGATTTGTAGGATGTCATAGTTATCTACCTTATGCACATTATGATGCATTCTTAAGGTATTTAATGTGGGTAACATATTAACTTTAATGTGGGTAAGATTGTTATGATGTTGCAAAGCACTTCTGCAGTATTTAAAGAGGAGCAAATAGTTCAAGGACATCTGATGATGGTGTGCAGGCTGAATCTGCACATAAAACCGGCCGCATTGCAGTAAAAGCCATTTTCGCACCGTCAAACAAAATGGAGCCGAATACATCAGCAATTACCTTCCTTATTGAAGGAATAACTGATCAGGCCAGTTCTACAGCTATTCAAGATGCACTAGTCAATCTTGGAGGAGTTCATACTGTAAGCGTATGTAGCTTACTTTTTTTTCATAGTCGTATATTTTCACTTGTAGTTGTGACTGGGTGACTACATATGTGCACAGATGTATTATGCACACATTTGTAGTCTTCAATGTAATAGTTTGTAACGAATTATCAAAGAAAACTTCACTCTTCGAGCTTGCCATCAATGGCACTTTTTTATGTAGAGACTACATTTTATGAAGGCGTTTTCTCGTGACACCTCTGAACTGTTCCCTAATGTACACATTTATGCTGAACTAAGCAAATCAGCTGTGTCTCTATTCCTGTGCTAACTTGCCACGCTGCTCAATAAAACAGCTGTAGTTCAGTAACCAGGCTCACATGAGCATTTTAAGTGTACTACTCAATTTTTTATTTCTGCTACATTAACCTAATGTTCCTGTGTTATTTGTCTTCTATTCAGTTTACAGTTGTGTTATTTGTGACATTCAGTTAGGGTGAATGTGCAAATTCATTTTATTATTGTGTTCTTTTTAATCAGCTGTGAAAACCGAATTAAAATCATATCTTGTTTCTTTTTTTGGCACGTGACTCGGAATCCTGCTCTGCATTATAATATTAAGTGTACAACACTTTTGTCTTTCACTGGTTGCATTGTTGTTTGTGATGCAAAACAAAGAAGCATACACCTACTGCACAAAAAACAAGCAAACATTGATAGCCTCTGACAAAAGAGCCCATTCAGCTTTGCATTCGCATACAACCTGGCTGCCTCTCCTCAATAGAAATACAAGTGAAATAAACAGCAGGTGTTGAGCTGCCTGGAGCTGTTTCGTTCCTGACTTTTTCAGCCAATTTCATTTGATCAATCACGCCCATCTGCGTGCTCTATTTCCCTTAGACCAGCTGTTCATGCCTTCAGAAGGTCTTGAGGTTAACGCCACTGCTTTGAAATCACAGCTGCTGTTTTTATTTGGCACTTTGCAAACAACATTTGTCATTTATGGCGCAGGTGTAACCTTCTGCAGGAACAGCCTCCGTGACGTACAGACCTGGCTTGACGTTTGAGGCGAGTATCAGGAGGAAAATGGAAGATGCCGGCTTCTGTATCAAGCCAAGTGACTTTCTGCAGCTGCAGGCTCCTGGTGACGTCAGCTCATCGCATGCCACAGCTGTCTTCCAAGCAGATAATGAAATGCCATGCGGCGTCTTCAAAGAACAGTTGGAGACCAAACTCTGCCATCGTGCTGCAGATGGTGTCACAATCCACGGAATTCCCAGTGTCAGTGATCCTCCTTTGGGTGTCATTAGTTTCGATACGAGGAATATTTCAGCAGAAGTAATTGAACGTGAAGTGGGTATGACACGACTGAGGCTTTCAACGACCGTCCTGAGCGTGAAGGGCATGACCTGCCAGTCGTGCGTTCGTAACATTGAGTCTCACATGGGACAGCAGCCTGGCGTGAAAGGCGTGAAGGTTTCGCTCGAAGAAGAAAATGCAAGGCTTGTGTACGACGGTGAACTGCTGACTGCAGATGCACTTGCTGAGAAGATAGAAGATATGGGTTTTCAGTGCGGTGTTCTCGACTCTGTGGCTCTCGATGCTGGTGGTCCGGAAGGGGCTATCAAGGAGGCAACTCAGGCCAGAACAGGTAAGTGTTACCTATTGGAGCAAGCATTTTAATTCATTTGTTTATGTTATTACATTCAAGATACGATAAGCCCAAGTATGGCCCATGAACAAAGGGTAACAAAGATCTGAACAAAAAAGTAATTGCATCACAGATTACAAAAATGCATACTACATACAGCAGGAAATTTGCCAGTGAAAATAATGCTCTAAAAAAAAATAAGGTTATGAATTAATAAAAAACAATTCTAGAATTGATGAATATATAAAAAAAGGTTTTATATAAAGATGTCACTGCATTCAAATAGTGAATGTTCTGTAGCATATCTAGTGGTAGTGCACTCCGGTCCATAATAATTCATAGAAAATAAAGAGAACTGGAATATTTTAATAAGTGTACTGAAAGGGTACAGTTAAAGAACTATAATTCAAATCTCATGAGAATGCTTGCCATGTTTTAATTAAACAAAATTGCAATTAATAAAACCGATAAAGTAAAGGCTGCATAGGATGATAAAAGCAGTGCAAGTACCTCTAAAGTCATCATCTTTTATTAAGGAAGTCAATAATAATTTTCCTGTTCGGAAAGCAATTTGCAATCACTGCCGGAGCTATTTGGTGGCACAGCTATTATATATATTTTTGCGATATTGCACAACATGGAAACACATTTTGGATCCAGTTGGCTCCTTGTACATAAAAAAAAGAAAACAAACAGAGAAAAAGGGCAAATTCTTTTTGAAACAACAGGCAGAGTTCTTAGCTTTCTTTTTGTCTTATCGTGTGTATGAGACCCTGGTGCCTGGTGACAGATGCTTATTATTGTCATCGTGAGGCAGTAGTTGTTCACAAGTGAGAATGAGAAGTTCTTTGATTTCTCTTTGCATGTTGGTGTCTGAGTATCACAGTGTGATACGGCGAATTGTGTGAGACTGGAAGGGTGTAAAAAAGGATGCATGTTAATGCCGCTCGTCGTAACCTGTTTATTTCATGGCAGTTTATGAACCATGCCTGCAATCATTTATCGCTTGCATATGGTGCATGAAACGGCATCTCACTAATGTGGCAAACACAACTTGTCACAATTAAGTGCCAAGCTTGCACTTCTTTGCATGTCACAAGTAGTTCTACGTAGTATTCCACAAGCGCACATGCTCTGTGACATGAATGGATGGCGATTCAGCAGAGCACACAGGGCCTTTACAGTACAGCTATTTATGTAGTTGCAGTGGTCAGTGTTAAATAATCTCGGTCAACTGGGGACAACTGTGGCTTTGTGTTGACATGAAGTTCTTGCATTCTTCTTTCTCCAAACAGCGCTACCTCTTGGTTCAGGCTTGTAGGAAATTAAGTAGTGTTGTAGATTCTAAAAATCATATTCTATGTCGATTCTTACATTTGCTCAATCATTTCTGTTAAAAAAAAAATACTGGAAAGTTAGCAAATGTAAGATGTAAATGCGTAACGTGTGTCTTCGTGTATGCTGCAGTGAACTAGTGATGTCGATGCACTTGTTTGGCGCAACCAGTACGGTTCAAAAGTGAACATGAAAATTGTGACGTGTTAATATCTTGTAAGCATCAACAACTTGCCTTGAACTTTTCATCATGATTTGATTGATGAACCATACGTGCACATTTCCTGTTTCTTGCGAAAATTCGTGTCATACAAAATCTAAGCTATACTATACTAAGAGATCAAAGATGCCATTTTATTGCAATAGAAGTAATATAGCAATTTTTTAGTGATGTATGTTGTTTACTGCTACAGTAAATTTTTTAATGCGGTGTGGAGAAGATGTGGTGCCAGCTTTTTTCTATGTAGTGTTATGTACAGTGCTCATGGGTTGACATGTGAACATACAAGAATATTGCACATATTTCATTTCCAGTGTCTATAGTTTGTTTCATATTGGCGTCATTTTCACTCAAACATTTACATCAGTACCAATGTTATCTTTAGTGGCCGTATATGTAGCGCCTGACCCAGTTACCATGAGGAATCACTCATAGCAGTCGTTGCCCCGCCGTGGTGGTCTAGTGGCTAAGGTACTCGGCTGCTGACCCGCAAGTCGCGGGTTCGAAACCCGGCTGCGGCGGCTGCATTTCCGATGGAGGCGGAAATGTTTTAGGCCCGTGTGCTCAGATTTGGGTGCACGTTAAAGAACCCCAGGTGGTCGAAATTTCCGGAGCCCTCCAGTACGGCGTCTCTCATAATCATATGGTGGTTTTGGGACGTTAAACCCCACATATTATAGCAGTCGTTAACTGATGTCGTGGTTTAATCTGTGAGTACTGTACACCCAATATGTATTCAATCCAACATAACTTGAATATTATAACTGCAGAAAAAATGTAGCATAATGTAGGTAGATATGTACTTACCGTAAATTCCTGAGCAAGCACCTACTTCCTCTTTTTGGGTGATTTGAAATATGCGTCAATGACCGACCAGGCATTCCCCGCCTCCATTCCTCCCCCTTGTAATTCTTTACAACCTGTTCTTCGCTACAGAATTCGGCAACAGCGGCTCCTAGAAACTCATATTTCGAGAGTCTTTAGATATATGCACGCTTTCTTTGTACTTTCACAGTGTTGTGCCTTGAGAATGCATTCTTAGTCATTAATTGTGGGAAAATTCCAAGTAAATCTTTTTTCCTTTGTCGTAGCCAGGGAAATTTCGCACAAGGATTCCCTCTGGTTCAGTAGATCCATACATATTTAATAAACCATTTAATAAGGAGCATTTTTTCCCGATGGGGCCTTTTAAATATTTATCTGAATATTAGCCTGTCACTGAGCAAAACCTCCCTTCGAAGTCCTGTCCCAATATCTTTCACCGTAGTGATGGCGCTTGCTCAGGATTTTATGGTATAAAATATATTTATTTCTATGGAGTGACTATAGATATAATAAAAAGTGACAGATTAATAACACTCTGGTTAAGTAACGTTTGTTTGGTAATGAGGCTTATTTTCATTATTTATGTCATTTTATATATGGAATTTTCGAACATCTGAGCTTTAGGTCAGCTAAGGAACTTGTAAAAAGGTAAAGTGCCATTCGTTCGTGTGATGAACTGTTGCAGTGTCAGCAGTGGACATACTAGTCTGGTGTGTTTCCTGTAACATTAGGCCATACCTGTACTCTGTTAACCTGCCCTCTAGCCTCGGTTGCAAAACAAGACTTGCAGGGTTGTTTATTGGGGCTTCCTTGCATTTCCTCACATGATGCGCATGTATTATTTCTTACTCACAGTTCCTGCTTCTGAAGAACAAGGGAGGTGTGTTGATGTCCCTAGAAATAACAGAGGAGACAACAGTGGTTTTGAAGATGGTGAAAAGTGCTACCTGAGAGTCACCGGCATGACATGTTCATCGTGCGTTGCTAACATAGAAAAAGGCTGTTCAAGGTCCAAGGTCAGCCATTCAGTATAGATTGTGCAAATATTGAATGCTTTATTCGAACAAATGGCACACTTGTTTGCTTTTCCAACAAATGTAGAAAGGAGTGAAGTTTTGCCCATTTGATGATAGTTATTTGGAGCTAAAGGCCAACTCTGGCAATTTTTTGAGGTCAGTGAATCTCAATGAAATTCACTGTGTACGTTCATTTGTGCCGTTTGTGCCATTCGTGCCAAATTGCAGGCTTGAGAGTTTCGCAGATTCTTTTCAAATCAATTTTATAGCTTACCTGGAAACGCTCACATCACTTGCCAGAATTAATGGCAACATTGTGTGCGTGACGTTGATTTTTGCCTTGCTGAAGAGACGAACTGATGCGCCACTGCTGCATCTGCTTGTCTGCTATAGATTGTGTGGGCTTGGCCGGCATGCTTCCTTGGTAGAGCATGCGATTTTCCTTTTCATGTGGGTGGGCATGCGATAGGTGCCAAGTGGTATTGCATTGGGAGCAACACACGATTCGCTATATATTAACCGTAACAGCGTAAGCGGTCTATAGCCATGGACGGCGTGGAGAGGTAGTGCCATCTGGTGCGCATTATATTCAATCAGGCAGGTTTTGGCAGCGTCAGGAAAATTTTTACATCACACATAGAAGCGCACTCAGTTGGGTTTTGTTTTCGGTGTTGCGGTTTTTCGATAATTAAAAATTATTTTTTATTTTTCCAGCATTTCAGTTATCGGGCGCATGAGAGGAGTGTCTAAGGAACATAAAAGCACCGTTATCCTGACATGGTAAAAAAATCGCCGAAGTTGGCCTTTAAGGCTCTGTGCTCATAGTAAGGCATTTGGTTCAGATCGTGACACCCTTTGTGTTGAGCCAGCATTCTAACATGTTTACTTTTATTGCGATAGCAATTATATGGACACTCTCGGCTGGATTTCCCCTGCTGGCATGGGCGTCGACGTCGGCGTTGATGTCATGCACCGTATATGTATACGTATCTATATATATGAAAACGCAAGAAAGAAAAAAAATCATAAATATGACTCCGGCGTGCGGAATCGAACGTGGGACCTTCGTGTCGTGAATGCAAGGCGTTACCACTGAGCCACCGTGGGGTACCTCCTTGGACATTAAAACGGCAAGCTATTTATATCTACCTCTTACTTCTGTAGACAGGCGTCTTGGGGGGCGGGAGGAACTATCGTGTTTTCAGCATTATCAGCAAGATGGCGCAGTGAGCGCGCGGCGGCTCTCATCTCTCACGCGTACTTTGGCCCGCGTAGAGAATAAGGGGGTGTACGCTCGATTGCGCGCCCTTATCTTGCAGGGGGGGAGGATCGTACGTCTCATACGTATTCTGTTGTAGTTACCGGGTGCACAAAGGTCACTGAAATCGTTGCACATACTCCGTTTGCGAAAAGGGTGCCCTTTTCAGACAGGGCGAAGTGACAACTGAGATGCTTATTCGCGTTCACCTGTACCTGCGAGTACGTTTCGTGTGTCATTTGTGCGTGAGAAACGCGGGCACGTTTCAATCTGCTCGCCATTCTGCGCGCGACTTTCTAATTTGTTGCTATCGCGTTATTTGTTTCACCTTTGTGGCAAAGCTGTGACTTTTTGTTATTTTGGAAGAACAGTGGGTATATTCACTCAACTCATCACATTGTGAGGATGAAAGCCGCTGTATGTGCCCCTGTGGGACATGAAGGAAAGTGTAAACTTAGGGACTCGTTTTCTTTGTTAGACACAATATTAACGAGAACTAAGGACAATATGCCTAGGAAAGTATAGGGGATCCTGTTGGAAATAATTGTAGTGTACATGCGAAGAAAGAAATGTGGACAAAAAGATAACTTGCCACCGGCAGGATCCAAGCCTGTCAGCCTTCGAATAACGCGTCGTCCGATGCTCAACCACCGAGCTACAGGTGGGGGTCATCCCCCAGTCCACTTATAGGGTATATATGTGCATATAAAGGTGGAAGCGTCGGTCATGCATGGTTTCATAAGATGCTTTTGGTATAGAAATTGTGGCTATGTTCTAGAAATTTATATACATTCGGGCATGTTGGGTGCAGGGTAGTAATTGTAACCATAATTAGCTATTAAAACAATGTTCCCTCTCTACTTTACCCGTGCCACGTGGGCGTTCGGAAGGCCATCGAACTGATAGTCTATTGAATAAATGGTCAAGCACGGGCTGCTACACAGGACGTCTTGAAAGCTGTTGAGTTAATTGTCTATCAAGCCAACGGAGGACACCACAACTAACTCTATTCAAGCTTTCAAGAGTGACGAAAGCGGAAACAGTGCCAGCGTGCCCTCTCATACACAGTGTGCTTATACACATGATTAGAAAAAAGGAATATAACCAGTATGAGTTAAACACTTTATATGTGAGGGTTGTTAAGGGGGGTACTGACACAAAATTTCGCAGCCGACATAGCCTGCGGGATCGATTCATGTGGACATGTGTATATCATCTGCAAAATATCAACAGCAAATATAGCATGGAAGGTGTTTTACAGCAATTATGAAGTCTGAATTTTGATATCATCTGCAAAATATCAACAGCAAATATAGCATGGAAGGTGTTTTACAGCAATTATGAAGTCTGAATTTTGATATCATCTGCAAAATATCAACAGCAAATATAGCATGGAAGGTCTTTTACAGCAATCGTGAAGTCAGAATTTTGAAGGTATTGACACCATCTAGAAGGACCCCTTTAGGACCCCCTTATTTCCCACATGTCACCATGCTGCTGTTAATAAAACTAGTTATGATGACATAGCCCCCATTTTTCTTTTGACGTGTTTGTTTTCGCAGTCTATACTTATCGACGGCTGGTCGCGAGTGCGTTTATGGTGCATGCGTTGAATCAACATTTGTGTTTGGCAACACTGCAGTCCCGTTTCTTATTGAAAGGAATTCTTCATACAGACCATGTGGAAATGGGTCAAAGATCTGTGTACTGATGTGATCGAGAGCTGTACCCACTAGGTGGCAATAGTTGCACCCAGCGGCTTGTCGTTTTTGGAGCTCTCTCAAACCAAAACTGAAACTGGCCGATAATAAGAGACCTGTAATTAAATATCAATCGTGTGCTACAGTACAGCAAATGATCTGCCGTGTTACGACTAACATGCCCCCAGCAACACATTGCAGCAAAAAAAAGTGCGAGGTCAAAGTTTTTGTCTCAGTGCTCCTTTAATTATGTAATGGTGTATTTTTTATTTTTGAAATTTGCCAACTGCACATACTCTCGACAACAGCAACATGCTTATCTTCATTGAGCTGTTTCGCTGTATATCATTTGCCACAATTTCACTGCCCAACAACGTAAAAGCTATATAATATGCATTCATAACTGTGAATAAACAATTTATTGAAATATTTAATTAGGCATAATCAACAGACATGTTTGAATTTTTAAGTAAATTTGTATTATTTAACTTTAGGTGGCACGAATTTAAATATAAAGATCTGCAGCACCACCCAATTTTTGCGAGAAATGCCTGAATCAATCTGGACAACTTCACGGCCATTAAAAACTGCTGTGTAGCAGTACAACTCCAGTGAGTAGATAGAGTTGCGATTTTAATGGCCATCGTCTGGATGGCACTTCAAAAGTGCCCGTGTGACACAGGTATTGGAAAAAAAAAAAAAAACCTGCAGCAATCTATGGGTGTCAATGTTAGGCATATCTTATGATAGTACTGGATAATGAACACATTGCTTTCTGGCAGCGGCCTGTCTCTTATTTAAAATTCATGGCTAATAATACTTTAAAACAGTTGTATAAAAAATAGTATAAAAAAAAGGTTACTTCATTAAGGTATGCTTTATAAATTACCTTTAGTGCTTTAAAAAAAAAAAGCATTAAAGAGCAAGCTGCAGGCTGCCTGTGCATAGTGGGACTAAATTGTATTACACTGCCTTGATGATGCAGATGAATTGTTTGGCTTGTCGTGTGAAGAAAACTGTCTGTCCTGTCTTGCAGGAGTAAAATTTGCTCTAGTTGCCCTGTTGGCTCAGAAGGCAGAAGTCCGATTTGACCCAGCTCTCGTCCAACCTAATCAATTAGCAGAGATTATCAATGACATGGGATTCGAAGCATCGGTTCTAGAGGAATCGCACACTCTTCATGGTGATGCTGAATTTGTGGTGCGTATTCTTGGGCCGTTTCATTTATTTATTTATTTATTTATTTATTTATAAAATACTGCGGACAAAAAGTCCAAGCGGGGTGAGCAAAAAATACATAACAATAACTGAAAACAAGGTTTCAAAGTGTTTTTTACAAAATGTTTCTTGGTTGTACGATGGTGAAAACAACTTGGTCATGATACAATTCTAAGGAAGTAATAAAAGAACCATAGTATTTGCACAAATGCTCATGGGCATTCAAGAAATGCTTTCACGAGTTCATTCCAATCAGCTATAGTTTGTCCTCGAGAGTGTGTCTCGAGAGTGTGTTTTATCCTCGAGAGTGTGCAAGAATTAAGTCTGTCACTCATTCATGCCGCATGCTGTGGGATGAGCTGTAATCAGCTTGAGCTTGTGTGTAGTATACCTCTTGAAATTGTGAAAAAGGTTGAGTAGTTGTTGTACTTGTTTACCTGTCTTCTGAACCATTTGGCCAAGATGTTTTCTTACAAAAGGCTGCCTTTTCTGCATTCTGCTGAGGGTTTCCTGAAGGAATAGTTTACGCAAATCAATAAAATGCCCATACCTTGCTAAGCTTCATTTTCTATTAGTCTTCATTAGGTCAATTCTAACAAAGAAATGAGCCCCTGATAAATTCCCCCTCTTTCATACATTGAAATATGAGAGATACCTAAATGGCAATGTGTATTTAAAATATTCTCTGTGCATACATCACCAAAAACTGTTGAATGTGCGCTGTTGTTAAGGTATTATATAAAATATTTATTATGGCAGAAACTCTTCGAGCTTAAGGCTTGTGGTCTTAGTACTTAATTAATTGGTTTGCTAATAACTTCAGGAAATTAGCTAATAACTTTATAATATCGGTAAAAGAAATCCGTAAGTAGTAACGTCACCTTGAAGATCACCCACCAACCACCTTTGACATCACAGCTTTTCGATGGTGTCTGCTGGGAGCTACTTAACTCTCTAATAGTAAAAAGGAATGACATTGTTTTTAAGGAAGCCAAGGACTTAGCATTACAAGTTTAAGGAAATTTTATTCAGTCAGCGTAGCCAAAATGCTGAAGACATAGATGTCTACATCGTTCTAATAACATCATATGTTGATGTTTGGCTGGTAAGTACAGAAGAAAATCCAAGATAACAGACTTTTGGGCTAGTTGGTTTGTTACGTTCAACGAAGTCATAGCACTGAGACCAGACAGGGACCACAGAAAGTACAGGATGGGTGAAGGACCTGTATTATTTCTGTGTTCCCTGTTTTGTCAGCGCTATGGCTTCATTAAACTGTCCAAAATAAAACAGTCATTTATTTTTTTAGGTGACGGTAGACTTCTAACGACAACATAATGACAACAGTGTCTTTTAGCATTTTCTGACTGTATCATGACTGGCATTATGTAAAAATGATGTGTCAGTTGCAACGAAGCCAAATAAATGTCAGTGATTATTTGAAATGCCTTCTTTGTGTCTTAGATACGTGGCATGACCTGCGCCTCGTGCGTTCACACCATCGAGACCAATGTCTGCAAGCTTCCCGGAGTGGTCAGTGCATCAGTCAGTCTGGCAACGCAGAAGGGAAGGTTCTCCTTTGACCCTGAGAGAACAGGACCCCGCCAGATATTGGAACGAATCAAGGGTTGGCAAACAATTTACATCACAATGCACTAGAAAAATGTTCTTGATTCGTACATGGCCTGTTTTGACTTTTCCGGTGACCTTATTTCTGACAGGATTTGGGCTTCGAGGCTCATCCATTTACAGACCACAAGATGGATGCAAGCTACTTGAGTCAGAAGGAAGAAGTTAAAAAGTGAGCTTCTTCATTTTTTCAATATCTCACAGAGCTTTTACTGCAGCTGACGATGACATTTAAGTGGAAATCATTCATTAGCAAAAATAATATTTAATATTTTATTCGAAGTGCATGTTTATTATGTGTATATATTTGTGATATGCATTTTGAGGTTTGCTTTGTTCTGTAGTTTGATTCGTCTGAGCTTGTTTATATCTAGGTTTGATGTTGTTTGATTTGTTGCATGCTAAATAGCATCTGGCAACAGTCCACTACTTTTGGGGGGATTTATTGCTCTCAAGATACACATGCTTGCTTTATCTCTGTTCGGTGTTGTTCCCAAAGTAAGGTGGTGAAATTCGGTTGAAATGCATTTAAATGAAATAGTTTGATGAGCACCAAGGCATCATTTGCTTAGAGATTTGCTTGTGATTCACCATACCTGTGTAATGAAAACCATCTGTCACCTCAGAAACATGGTGTAGGATTTGCAGTGCAAGGCTGTAAGATTTATCTATATCTGGCCAGTAAAGCTGTGTTCTGATTTCATGGAATAAAGAAGCACTCATTATTTAGACGCATGTTAAGAAGACAAAGTAATCAAAGTTAATTGGAAGCTGTTCACTTTTATGCCCCAGTGTACATGTTACGAGAATAACTCCCCTGTCTTCTCTTGTTCTGCCAGGTGGAGAAGATCCTTCCTGCTTTGTGTGATGTTTGGCGTGCCGTCCATGATTATCATGATGTACTACATGTTCCGGCGAATGGCTTACAAGCTTGACGACTGTTGTATATTTCCAGGGCTTTCAGCCGAAAACTTTTTCCTTTTTCTATTAGCCACCATAGTCCAGGTTTGTACTGCATAACAATTTTTAGTTTTAGTCCATTGTTTTATGCACAAACAACAGTGGCGGGACATTGTACGGGCTGCATGATTCGAATTAAATGAGCAGCAAAGTCTAAGTACAAATAGCCTTTTCAATTTTTCCTGTTGAAATATTAGTAAGTTGAATTAAATTTTGTCCGGTGCATATGCTCTTACCACAGCCATACATATGTAGCATATTTGTTGACTGTGTTGTACCTATTTGTTGCTGCTTTTTTTTTAGTTGCTCTCATATTGGTGCGTGTGTGCTTACTTTCCTTTCAAAACATTAATGCTGCCCACTGCCATTATATTGTTATCAATTCACTTTTAGGGTTATGCATCAAGAGCAACCTAGATAATGTAAACTGTTTGGGGCTAACCACCCCTTAGTTTCCTAGTATATTTCAATGTGTATGTTAGGATAACCTTTGGGTAAGTTGAACCAAATAATTAGGCTTCTTCATGCTCTCATAATTTAAATATATCATTAAGCTCGATATATTTCTTTGTTAGTAAGGTGTATTTTGATGTACAGGAAAAGCTCGTTAGTTTTACACTCATTATTAAAAAAATCTGACTATTTGGACATTTTCTGTGGTCCTGGCACCATATGCATTCTTTAGTGACACCAAACTATCGTTCATATGTGGCCACAACTATATCAGTTTGGACGATCCTCTGAGCACAGTGAGCATGCAGCACTGCTAATGTGCAACCCATAAGAGCGAAGATGGCGTTTGAGCACAGCATAAATGACTACAGGTTTTTTCAAAGGCATGATTGTGATCCACAATCGCGTTGTTATTGCATGATAAGGCAAGAGTTCAAAGCAAGTTTCTACTTAAAGGAGCCCTGCAACACTTTTTGAGCATGGGCAGAAAATGCTGCGGATCGGTAGTAGAGGCTCCCGACAACATGAGAGCCAAATATTAGCACAACACGCGGCCTGGAATTGAAAATAAATTATCAAAGTGAGCTAAAAATTGCTTTCTCTTCTCTCGACAAATGCCAGAAGATGCTCAAAAATTACTCTTAGAAAGTCCATGTATCAGCTATTGGCTGAATAGAACATGGTGCTCGGTCGTTGCAGAGATTGCCGAAGGAGGCCGCGACTTGTCCACGCATGTACGCGCGATCACACTGAAGATGCCTCACATTCGAAGAAAATAAAAGTGCTCAAGGTCACGAGGCACGGGTGACTTATTGTTTTTTATCCTGCCATCCCTCTCTTCTTAGCTTCCAGATCTTTCGTCAAGACGAGAGAAGAGAATGCAATTGCAGCATACGAGAAACCTTTGTAACTCCACTCGCATTGGACAGATTCTTAAATTTTTGCTGTGTTGAGTTCGTGAGGCAATAAGCTCTTCCACTGAATTGATTTCATGATTACTAGAAAAAGTGTTTTAAGACGCGGGGGTCTTGAGCTGTGGTCACACTGTGAAGTCGCGAATCATGAAAGTTATGGCTTACACTCCTCTTTTGCAAAATAAGATATATATTTATGTATTTATAAAATAAATGAAAGGGCATTGATGTAATACGCACCTATTTATTGTTTTTCTCATGCTTTTGATAATTAAGCATTTCGCTCATTCGGACAGTTTTTCCGGATCTTTGAAATCTGAATTAACAAACTTTTATTGCAATACCTTGTTATACACCCATTGTGTAGATCTCACTAATTAGACAGCATTTATGAATTAATTGCACTATAGTACATGCAAAGATCTTTGAGATAGTAAGGTGCCCTGGTGTTCATAAGAACATTTTTCATCAATTACTGCAGTGACATTTTCAAGGAATACAACCAACACAGCATGAATTTTAAAACCTTATTGTGCCATGTGCATTAAAGGTAGCAAACCGAGTTACATTCTTTTTCTGCATCATTTGGGTGCTCTTCAAATTCAGTGGTAATTACCAGAAGACTGTTACAAACTTTAGGCGAGTTCTGTTAAAAATCTCTTGTGTACATTGTGGCAAGGTGACAGCTCTTTTTTTTTTTATGGAGAAAGTAATATGAATATCTTAAGATGGTGGGTGCTTTTACTTCATTAGACATGCAAGTTAGATAGTTAGGAACCACAGCCGCTGCGAGCCGTGCAAGTTGTGGTGTTAATAAATGGATATGAAGTGAAAAATATGCCTTTCAGCTTGCATTATTCATGGCATGAAATCGAGAATGAGAGAAGTTGCAAACCTTTTCAACCTTATAGCATTTCACCTCTAGAAATTTGAAGGTATCTTTCACTCACAACCTGGCATCAGTGTAAGCTTTGCCAAAGTCAGTGCGCTTTAAGGCTCCATTCCTACTTGTGGCATTTGGAACTTACTGTGCAATTCATTTTTGGCGATTCTTTCTGCACCTTTCTTACTAGCTGCTCCCTGTTAAGCTTTGATTTCCTCTTGATTCACAAGATAAACTTCTAAAACTATAAAATTTCCGCTTCCTTTGACGCAGTTTGTCGGCGGCCGCTACTTCTACGTGCAAGCTTGGAAGGCCGTTTCCCACAGGGTTGCCAACATGGACGTGCTCATCACGCTGGCAACAAGCATCTCTTATTTCTACAGTGTCATTATTGTTGTGTACTTTATGATTGATAGTGCAGACCACAGCCCAAAGACCTTCTTTGAGACACCGCCCATGTTGCTCACTTTCATATCACTTGGACGTTGGCTTGAGCACATTGCCAAGGTAATTGTGTTGAGTCTTTCTCAACAGCCTTGTTGCACTTTTTAACATTTATACATTTCTTTCTTGAAGTATTTTGGGGAAGAGCTATATTTGGCCTAGCAAGTGATCTAGCTTGTTTTTAGCTAGTTTTCATAGATACTTTAGATTTTGCACATTTTGATCTGTACAGTGCTAATGACAGCAGTTGAATGTAAACATTTGACAGAAGTCTGTTCGGTTGGGTATGAAACTGGGAGATGATTTAGACACCAACCAAAAGTTTTAAAGAAACCCTACGTTTCGAAACCGACTTGGTTCTTTACTCAGGGGTGTCTGCGGGGCTACATAGCAGCGGCGTCTTCAAAGCACTCGCGGGGTGGATAGTGACCCCTCCTCTCTCTCTCTCTCGTTTTGCAAAACGAGAGAGAGAGAGAGCGCTTTGAAGACGCTACTGCTACCGCAGTCACCCCTGAGGAAGGAAGCAAGTTGGTTTCGAAACGTCAAGTTTCTCCAAACTTTTGGTTGGAGTCTAAATCATCTCCCAATGACAGCAGTTGTGCTTCTAAAAAAAAAAAGAACACAGATTTCAACTGGCATTTTTAAAACACGATGCAAGAACTGCATGTCTGACTCTTATAAATTTACAGTTTCAAACATTTGCTGAACACTGCTTTTAGCAATAACACTGGCAGGGCTTCTGTGGAAGGTGGCAGTACATGAAGAATGGCACTGCACAGCTTATTGCCGCAACTTGTCTGAAAAAATATGGCCTTGTAATCATGCTAATAATAACTCTGTTTACATTAGTGCAGTTACTATTGCACTTGTTGTCATCTGTATCACTGACAGTCATGGTTTATGATCTACAGAAGTCATCGTAGTGTATTCCTATCGGCCTTATGCCTGTGTAGCAATTGTAGAACAATTTGCGTTCTCTTGAACAGAAGAGGCTGAAGGAATCGGGGGTCAGTTTTTTTTTTTTTTGCTTGATGCGACTGTATGAAGCGAACAGATAAAGAAGCCAAGTAAAGCATAGGGGTATTTTTCGTAGCTTTCTAGAGAAGTGTAATGATTGTGAGATAAAAGAAAATTGAAGTAAGGGGGACAAAATATTAACTCTTTGCCATCCGGGACCATACCCGCAACCTTTGTAGTGTGTGTCTGATACTCTGCCAGCTGAGCTATGCTGGCACTCGTTCTCTCATTCACTTGCTTGGTAATTTCTGTATATGTCAGCGTGACGACATTGGCCAGCACCATTATTGGCCATGGTGGCAAACATGAAACATTTTTTTTTCCTAAATAGCTTCACATAGCATGTTAACCTATGAGCTGGCAGCTCACCAATAAACTCCCGCATGCTGCCTAAAGGTCCTTCGGTTATTTGGTAGCTGTTCTTCGCTGAAGATATTTGTCAATCTGGTTGACATGCATAGTGAGAATGTCCCTACACACCTCTTTGTAGGGAAAGACATCAGCTGCACTTGCCAAGCTGATTTCCCTTCAAGCCACGGAGGCAGTCCTTGTGGATGTGGACGGACAGATGAACATCACTGCGGAGCGAAGCATCAGTGTAGAATTGGTCCAAAGAGGGGATGTGTTGAAGGCAAGCTGGGTTTGGCTTTGTCTCTGCATGTTTCGTGCATGCTATGGTAGCTCTTTAGTATGTCTGCAGGCCAAATAAATGAATGTGTGACAATGCCGTCTGATTTCTGTTATTATTGAATCTTTTTTTGTGCTGTCCCAAAGTTATGGGCTGTGTCGAATATGGCTTTCTTATTATTTTTATGATTTTTTTTGTTCTAGAGTACAATTATATTGCCTCTCACACTTTTTAGAATATATTTCTGGCATAAAGATGATTTTCGGCATCTAACTTCTCAAAACCATGATAAAATTACGAGGGATGCTATAGTGAAAGGCTCCAGAAATTTTGGATACCTGCGGTTCTTTATCCTGCGCCTAATTCAAAGTAAATAGGTCTCAAGCATGTTTGCCTTCATCTAAAATGTGGCTGGGATTTGATCCTGGGACCTCGGGGTCAGCAGTTGAGCAGTATAACTACTATACCACCATGGTAGGCACTTCTGGCATAATTACAGACTTTTTTACATGTGTGCTAGGCATAGAAGAAATCAATGTTTTCATTTAACTCTGTTTGTGTATGATTTCTTTGAAAAGGCTTTCAAACTTTGCAGAGATCCTTATCAGTTCACTTTGCTGGGGTTGTAGGTTATGCCTGGAGCAAAGATACCGGTGGACGGAAGAGTCTGTATGGGCCACTCTGTTGTCGACGAGGCTCTCATCACTGGTGAATCCATGCCTGTCCCCAAGAAGGTTGGTGACCAGGTCATCGGTGGCTCCATGAATGGCAAGGGTGTCCTTCTGATCATTGCCACCCACGTTGGCAAGGACACAGCACTCTCACAGATTGTCCGACTTGTTGAGGAGGCGCAGACATCCAAGGTAAGTCACGCATCATCTGGTCTAAGGTGTCACTGTATATGTGAGTTGCTTGCTGTAACCAGAAGGCCTCAATACAAGCTTTCTATGAGCGTTTGTGAAAATTAACTGAACCTACAAACGCAAAATGATTTCTGTGTGAAGTTGTAACAGGTTGCTTTATCAAAGATTGTATTATTGCCTTATCAGGTTATCTTTTTTTTTCCTGCGGTAGTTATAGAAGCTGGTGCTCTGAAAAGACATGTTGCACGCATGTGTATAGAAAGCACTAGACGAAGTTCCACTTTTTCGCTATTTTCTGCTTGCTATGTGCTGTTTTTTTACACAGCCTTCAGCAGTATCATAAGTGGCACTAGCATGCGCATAGCAACGAACATATGTTTACATAGCATGTCTTATCATATGAAAAAGGAGGTACTGTACATTATTTTTTGTGTTCATAAGGCAGGTGCTATTTCGTTAACATTTGTGAAGATGCAACTTGCCTATGCACAGAACCATTCATGCTGGCTTGACGAATGTGTGTGGTGTGTGTGCACGTGCGTGCACATATGTGTGTTTTGCTTGTGTGCAAAAAACTGCCTGATGCATTATAAAATTTCTATAACCTCAATTGCTAAAGATGTCAGCTAGAAGGCCTGTGTGGTAGCTGGGTGTGGTAGCTGGACAGAAATTATGGCTTGTAATGTAGGCACCTCAGTGATATTGGATTCCTGTTATATTGTGTCTAACACTAAATCGTTACCACTGTGCAACTGACTGACTGACTTGTATGTGAGAATTTGTCTACTAGCAGCATACTCCATATTCTTTATTTATTCTGGTGTGTGGTACGGTTGATTGCTATCTTTAAGAAAACTACAACACTAGACAGTTTTGTTTGTCGGTATGTTATGTCAATCGTAGATGTCTCATTGCCTGCATTCTTACTGTCTTGTTATTATGCAGGCTCCAATTCAGCAGCTGGCAGACAAAATAGCTGGTTACTTCGTTCCTGGTGTAGTGCTGGTCTCACTGCTAACATTATTTGCTTGGGTCTTAATTGGATTTCATAATGTGGAGTACATCACACCATTCTACAAGAGACAGGTAAAGGTTGTTTTGCTTTGTACACATCTTTATTGAATTAGCTTACTCTAAAGACTGACCAAGCATCATTTTTGTAGGTTTTAAAATCAGCTGCTTGAAAGGGTCGGTCATATACTTGCCCTTATCTATACATGCACATGTTTCATGCTATCAGACTTGTAGACAAAGGAAAAGCGACCCTATACCCAATTTCCTCACCCAGTTTGACGTTGAGGGGGTCTGTGGAGAGCTTCCCAGTGTGGAGTTTGCTTTGAGTAACGAATTTCATATATTTATCAAGTGTAATGAGACCAATAAGCTGTACGATATGCAAAGAAAGATACCTAACATTTAATTATGGTGCTTTCTACTGAAAGTAATTACTGAAAATTAACTCTACTTCTGTCTTCAGCCTCACACCCCACCCACTACCCCCCAAAATTCTTGTAAAGGTGTATTGACACAATGGACAAAATCGCAATTCGAGCTTGTAGATAGTGTGCTATGTCATCGTACACCAGCCATTCCCGTGTTCCCACTTCAGTTTGTGCAGAGCAATTCGTGGAATGGTGGAGGCCGAAATCAACATTGCCCCGCTGCGGTGGTCTAAAGGCTAAGGTACTTGGCTGCTGACCCGCAGGTCGTGCAATCGAATCCCGACTGCAGCGGCTGCATTTTTGATGGAGGCGAAAATGCTGTAGGCCCGTGTGCTCAGATTTGGGTGTGCGTTAATGAACCCCAGGCAATCAAAATTTCCGGAGTCCTCCATTACGGCGTCTCTCGTAATCATATGGTGGTTTTGGGACATTAAACCCCACATATCAATCATCAGCCAAATCAATATTGCGATCCTCATAAAGCAATGTTGAAATCCTGGTTTTTAGCCTAAATCCTACCCCATCCTGTGAGTACTGGCTGCGAAGAGATCCGAATCACATCACGTTACATGCCGATTCGTTTGTGATCATGACTTTCGTGTGAATACAGCTTTATGGCCATGGTTGCAGCAATGGCAATCTTTTCGGCTAGTTTAATACCAATGGTTATTCTTAAACTCTGTCAGTATATTTGTAGCCCTCATATTCAGGAACTCCACCATTGCACTGTGAATCAATAATCAATACATTGCGATAGTAACCATGATGTTACTTATATATATGTTTTCATCTGCTTAAATTACTTAGTAACTAGTCTTAAAAACTTTGGTATTCAGTTACATGCTGCTTGTCACTAATGTGTTAAGTGTTTTATACCAAATACTTCACATGGCTGTTGCCAAATTAAACTGATGCCCAACATTTTCCGTTACAGTGCTACGCATTGCACAATGATTGTGTTGATTGGCAGTGCAGTGGTGGTAAATGCAGAGGACCAATGGTGTTCTTATACGATTCCGTTCGTTCACTGCTGACACGCTTATATTTTATATGCAGCGATATCACGACACAGACACCGAGCTGATCTGCCAGTTTGCGTTCCAATGCGCACTGACTGTGCTTTCCATCGCTTGCCCTTGCTCACTGGGCCTCGCAACACCCACAGCTGTCATGGTTGGGACAGGGGTTGGTGCATCCAACGGTATTCTAATCAAAGGAGGAGAGCCACTTGAGATTCTCCACAAGGTGAGTGAGCTTGATTTCACAGCTTTAATCTCTAATGTGCAACCATGTTTTAGTATTAGTGGCCACCGACAGATTGAGTGCGAAAATAGAGGTGTTGAGTCATGGGGCTGAAACATAGAGGATATAAAAGCAACTGGAGAAAAAGTTCTGGAATAAAAAAAGAAAGGTAGTAGTAAATCTAAAAGATCAGAGACGGGCAGAATGGGTCAGAGAGCAAAGAGAGGCTGCCGATATACTAATTGTCGTCAAGGTAAAAAAAAAAGGACTTGGGCTGGCCACATAATGTGTAGAATAGACGACTGGGGAACAGATTGGCTACCAAGGGATGGGACATTCAGTCGAGGTAAGTGAAAAGTTTGATGCAGTGTCGAAATTAGGAAGATTGCAGGCATCAAATGGAATCAGTTCGCTCATGATCAGACCTGGAGATCATTGGGAGAGGCCTTTGCCAGGCAGCAGACATAAAAATAGGCTGGAAATGACAATGATATTTGTAGATTGCAGATGGTGGTGTGGCAGAAATGTCACTTTTTGTCAAGTTGCATGGTGTCGAGGCAGTGAGGACAAACAAGGGCAAGATGACGCGGGTGCATAACTGCATGTTCACTTGTACATGTTAGTAATCAGTCCCACTGCGTTATACAGTTAAACCTGGATATAACAGAATTGACAAATTCCCATAAACATTTCTTCTAAAGAGTATTTCATTATTAAAGAGGATTCGGTACGAAAGTCTGAAATATAAACGCACAAATTATAAACAGAAGGAGAACTGAAGGCAGAGCTCATCCGAAATACTTATTTAGCAGTAAACAAATGTGTCTTTATTGAGATAGCAAACATATGAACACTCCCGACTGGTTTTTGCCACAACCGCAGTGTTCTGCAGAGAAGTCCAAATTGATAACATGGCCATGTACATTGCAACTTCATCAAGCGACCCTTTGTTTTTATGTTATGAGTAGAGTTGCAATGTGAAAATCTTTACAGGTCAATTGTGTGGTGTTTGACAAGACAGGCACCCTCACCAATGGCGTGCCAGTGCTGACGCGCATGACGCTGCTGGTCGAAAGCAAGGTCTGCTCCCTTGCCAAGCTTCTCTTCTTGGCTGGAACAGCCGAGACCAACAGTGAGCATCCCATAGGAGCAGCCATAACTAAGTTTGTCAAAGAGGTTCGTGTTACTCATCTGGTTTTTAATAATAATCTCAACCGTGGTGGTCTATATATAGCATTATTCTCATCTGGTTACCACAGATAACGGTGGATGTAAAGCAGAAAAAACCAGGAAAGTTGTACTAGAGGCTGGTTCACCAGGCTCTACTTGGAGACTGCCCCTGAAGGCTCCGGCTTAAAAAACACCTTTTTTTCCCTTAAGAATCAGATGTGAGAAATTAATGAAGTACTTACATAAACTTCAAATATTTTCAAGTTTTTGCGACAAATAAAAGCACTCATGTCCAGAACCCTAAAACAGTATTATGGTGCCTGAGAATATATTGAATATATTTATATGACCGCTATATAAAAGAAAAGGCAGTTTTGGCTTTATTATTGAGAGGCCGGCTTCTCAGTGATTTGTTACTGTATACTAGTGATGTTACTTGGAGACAGCAACTCACAACATACTAGCGACAGATCTACCATCTGTTCGTAGTGCTTGTAACCAACGAGTGCATTGTCCAGTGACCCCAACAGTGATTTCAGCGATTTAGGCTCTATGCAAGACGCAGAGTTTGCAAACTCAATAGAACAGTGTTGACTTGTTGAAATAATGTCCATTGCGAGCTTGCTGATGCTCAGCAACAAAAACTTTAAAATCAAAGTAAATATATTTTAAACGTATTGTCTGACTCCTGTTGTAGAGAGCGTTAGCACTGCACATCAAGAAAACCAAGAACGTCCCTCTTACAATGTCTCAAAATGTTGTCATTACTCTTTTAACTTAACTCAAGTCAAGCTCATATATAGTCTGTTTCGAAGGCCGCTTCATAAAAACAAGTGTTTTGCTCCCATAAAATTTAGCAGTATTCTGCACTGACATGCCATCAGCAAGGCCCATTGGTATTTGTGTGCACATTCATTTTTTTTTTTGCCATGAGATGAGAGTGGTACCAAAGCCTGCATGTGTTTAGTAATGTGCATCATTTTTTTGTTTATTACTGTCACATCTTTGCCTCTTAGTTATGGATATACTGTACTTACACGAAAGTAGCGTGCTAGTGTCATCAGGTGCCACATTTTCAAGTATGAATCTTCAGTGTGAGAAATTGAGTCGATCGGTTTGTCGGTTTGTCATTCGGCCATTCGATCTGTCAGTTGGTCACTTTACCTGACATGTAGCTACACTTGTTTGTCGCAACGGTTGCTACAAACACTAAATGTTTAATAACTTGCAGTTTTCATTGCTACTCATCGTGGTAAATTATTTGTGTTCGAGACATCTTGCTGAATTTGAAACCTACTGTTTTCTTTCTTTCTTACTATGCAGACGTTAAAGGTTAACACCCTTGGAAAGTGTGAGGACTTTGGGGCTGTTCCCGGTTGCGGTCTGCGGTGCCGCATTTCTGGAGTGGATGATTCGCTAAGCAACATTGCCGATTTGGAGCGCCTTGTCACTGACACCAAGAACCCCCGCAGCAGTTATGTGGCTTCCTCGGAGGACGTGATGATTGACCGGTGGATTCTGCCAGCTCACATACGGGGTGACACTTTGCTCAGTCCACCCCAAGGCCTCTTAGTCGACGTGCCAAACCATCAAGGTGAAAAGCATTCTTTGGTCTTTTCGCTGACCTCATTATACAGAATTTCACATTAAGCTGCCAACTGAAGCATTCATTATCACTTAATTGTGGATTTTCATAATAAGATCTCATCAGTTTCATTCGATATTTTGCCAAAGATGGGCATTTCATGATTGAATAACATACCATACAATGTTAATGCATGTTAAAGAACCCAGGGTAGTCAAAATTGTCCGGAGCCCTCTACTGCAGCATCTATCGTAGCCTGAGTCACTTTGGAACATTAGGTTCTATGAAGCAAATAACAATAACAAGGTTTACTGTGAAGCAGTTTCTATAACCAATGCCAATGCTGTCATTTTTTAAAACAGCATGTATAATTAGTTTGCTCTTATTACAACATGAAAAAAAAAATTTAGAAATAGCTCTCATAGTAAAACAGTCTGCAAAAGAAAAACTGCAGTGTTTGTAGTGTCTGCATTGCACTTCAGTGGAATGACGATTGCTAATACCATTTGTTGGACAAAGTTACTCTACAGAGAAGTACCCCTGTGAATCATGTGATTATTCATAATCATTTTTCACATCTCTTGGCAATGATGAAGTTTGAGGCATTCTTCTCAAATTGTGGTTGAGAGGAGCATTGGGCTCAAAACCAGCGAGGGGACCCCATCGATTGGCATTGCACATTTTGTGCTGGGGCTCTTTTTAGTCAGCACTACTGTGCATTGTGTGGAGACCTTAAAACGGAAGGGGCGTCAGCGAGTGGTGCTGTTTCTAACTTTAATCTTAACAATACTCCCTGAACTTATTCGCTGTTTTATAAAATCTCAGATTATATGTTTTCTAGTTTTTGAACTATGCACATTTTATGATAAATTGGTTTAGTCATAGCAAAACCGCCATAGAAATATTGCATAAAAATCCCTGGTTTTATGACACGATTTTACGTCAACCTTGAGTCGCACTACTCTCCAATACCCTCCCCCCTCAATGTTTTTGAATTTAGCATAAGTATGTAAACACGCATACATAAAAATGCACTAGAAACATGCATAGAGTATGATATAACCCACCCTCCTGCCTCTGGAAAAATTTCTGGCTACGTAAGTGCTCATTATAAAGAGGTTTAATAGGACGGGAAGGCACTTTCTTATATTTTATTTATGTTAATTTTATGAGCCTATGTGCATATATTGCTGAATGAAAAAACATTTGATGACATGTATATGAAAAAATGCAAATGAGGTGTCTACAATGGGCCAGCAAAGCACTTCTTGAATTTTGGCATCTGACAGATTAAACAGTAACTGTATGAGATATTTTTGCTGCCATGACTAGGCTTGTGTGAATATTCAAATGCTTTGAGTATTCGAATTAATATCGCAATATTCGGATTTGCTTTGATTGTAATTTAGATTATTGAAAATTTCGAAGTATTCGCGATGAACGAATACATGTACATTAATCCGCGTGTAATCTCAATAAGGGTGGTTTCACTGCAGTGAAGTGGTGCTAAGCGGTGAAAACATTTAACGAAATGCATGTAATTTTTTTTTTGTAATGGTGGTTACACTGCAGTTGGAAAGTGCTACGCCGCAAAAATGAAGTTCCACCTAAGTGAACATATTACCTTTACATCGATTCATTTTTTACATACAAAAGCTTGTTATACCGGCTTAGATGCTCTAAAGTCATGTAAATAATAAAACGTAACATGTTTTAAATCCTGCTACTATTCAAAGTTGTTTTCCTTTGAACGAAAACAAGAAATTGCATTTGCACAGACTTTGTTTCAATTGAAAAAAAGAAATATATATATATATATATATATATATATATATATATATATATATATATATACACATACATACATATATATCGAATGAACTTGCAGATCGCACATTTGAAAAGGAAATTGCCTTTATTAACATTTCGGTCGTGGCACGGCCTTCATCAGAGTGAGTAGGTATGATACAATGCAGCCTATTTTATAGGCTGACGTGATGAACTCTCGGTACAGCAGCTAGGACAATCGAAGTGAAAAAAAATTGGTAATCTGTCAGAAAGCTTGTGTTAACACGACTGACATGCGACGGGTGCATGAATATACAAGTTTCGAATTTCCTTGCGCATCAACACGTATGCGCAAGGATATATATATGGCAGCGTCTCCTGCGCCGCGCGGCGCAGCAGCCAGCCCCACACAGAAGTGGCTCCTGCGCCGCACGGAAGTGGCGTCACTTCAAAAATTATTACCTAAAGCTAGTTAAATGTGTAAATTATTCGTGTGTAATGCGTTAAACCTACAAAAATTTTACTAAGCAGGTATTTAACGAGTCAATTAGCCTAGGTTTGTTATTTAAATACATATTACAAGTATTTTAAATACAGGGGTGCCATGGGCGCTGCGGCTGCGAAAGGTAAACACTGCGATATGGTAGCCGCCTGCGATGTGTTAGGTGGTGAAAACTCCGATGAAATCGTGGCCATGGCCTAGTCCACTCCCAAGGAGGACTGGAGTGTCGTCGCTGCTTTATTTGATTGCTGGATGCTTAGTTGAACCTGGTGGTTGGAGCTAGCGCGGCCGTCCACCGCGCCGCAGCTTCATCTGAGTGTGTGCGCCATAAAGTTTCTCAGTATGATGTGCGGATTACAGTTGTTGGACGTACTGCATTTTCTAGATTGCAATGCCAAGCGTGGTGTTGTCAAAGGTGAAAGTGTTCTTGCTGCCGAGTTTGCTTGTCGCGAAGGACAAGGTCGACGATGAAATAAATGCTTTCGCACAGTTCACGTGTGACTGACCGGACGCACTTGCATGAAACTTCAGTGCGTCGGCGAAGTGTTCATACGGTGGATGGAAACAACTTTATTGTAATGTTCTTACGAAGCCTTTGATCTACGAAGGCCAGAGCTATTGCATTGCCGTCTGTTTTGTCAAGTGCGAACACGTACGGCCGTTCTCATCCGTTGCTATGTGAATGCTCCCGTGCTGTCACAGGCCGCGCGTGTTATTGAGCAAGGCAGACAAGCTGTTTTGTAGTTAGATGGGCTAATGCCGTCGGCACTTGCCCTTGGGCATTGTTTATCAAGTGCTGATCGCCTAGAACATTGCGGTGACACGTCAGTATATTTAAAGAAAGCAGCCTGCCGGTTACCTCGTCAGGTGATGGTACACTGAGCGACATAAAAAAAGTTGCCCAAGACTACGTTGCAGTGCACCTTTCTGTCATCAAAACTTTGATAAACCGTGGAAATCAACATTCCTGACACCTGTGCCGAAGAAACCAATGCAGCCAGCTGCATTCGAGTTTTTGTGTCTTTTTGCGTCTCGCCGATTAAGAGCACTAATTCGCAAAACACTTTATCATAATAAATATAGTCAATCCTGCAAGAGTCATCGAAGATCTAGTATTAAAGGGCATGTGGACGGAACCACCACCACCAGCAGCAAGTCGGGCTGATGAGGAGGCGCAAATGTTAAAACAATACATGCGTGAACAAAAAAAAAAGAGAAAGTATCGATAACTGCAATGGGACTTGAACCACCGACCTCACCAGTTGATGTGTTGCTTTAACCAACTACGCCACAGCTGCCGATCAGTTTGAGGTGGCAAACAAGCCGGTTTTGTATTGTTGTCACGCTAAACCTAACTAACATTTTTGTTCACTTTTTAGGAGCGAAGCTCCTTAAGGCGTGGGCTGTGCGTCCCCTGTATGTAGCCACCTCTCGTGGCTACATACAGGGGACTACATACAGTGGCTACATATAGTGGCTAGCGTAGTATTACGCTAGCCACCGCCTGATCTAAAGGGTACAGCCATATCCATCCGTCCATCCGTCCGTCCGTCCATCCATCCATCCGTCCGTCCGTCCGTCCGTCCGTCCGTCCAAAAGATGCAAGATGTTATAAACTAGACGGCGGTACGTGTAGTTGATTATGAAAGATGCGAGGTGTTATAAAATAGGAATGATGCCACATATGGCGCGTGTCATCGTTCGATATAGTGCGGCGACGTACGCTAGGGGGAGCGTTGCAATAAAATCGAGTGGGCAAAATGTACGGAGGATTCATGGTTTACCAGGTTTACCTCCGGAGCTTCGCCCACCCATCATCATTCACTTCGTGGATATGGCGGCATTTTTTTGTTTGGACGTAATTTTAACTGCTTTTATCGTTATGTCTAGACGTACCGCTAGACACTCCCGACTATTCAAACAAAGCGCCTAACCGGAAAATGCATGACGTCACTTCCGTGCGGTGCAGCAGCCGTTTCTGTGGGGGGGTTACTGTGTGGGAGTTCTGTGTGGGGGTTACTAAGCCTAATCGTTACAGGTATTGGATGCAACATTTACAATTTTATTATAGCAGAATGCCCCACTAAAGCTAGGTGTGACCAAGCAAACTATATGCACAGACTTCCCTGAAGGTAATGTCAGTAAGGTCATTTAAAATCATTTATTGAATTTATCATTGGAAGTGCCTAAAAATATTCGAAATAGTTTCCTTTAGCATCTGTGCCTCAGCTCTAGCGAAACTTCCAGCTCTCAAATGCATTGAAGTAGCCCTCCTCCAGAATGGCCTCCAATGCTGCTATGCTTCCATGCTTGCATTTTGGGGGTGTTTTTAGGTGTGTAAATGGAAAAAAGTTGGAGGAAGCTAAGTCTGGGCTGTATAGGGGCTGGGGATTGTCGGCACTCCCTCTCTAACCAGGTAACTGGTGATGAGGAAGGCACTGTGGGCCGGGGTATTACTATTATAGTACAACTTCCAGTCGTTTGCGATGTCCAGCCGGGTGCATTGAACCTTGCTTTTCACCCTTTTGAGGACTTCCACATTAAGTTTTAGAAATCTCTAACTTCTCTAAAGTTAGAAATCTCTAACTAGAAATCTCTAACAAACACTTAATCGTCGGTCTTAGTTTAACAGTTGCCTCACTTATGTCTCGTCAGCTGAGGTGGTTAATGTTGGCTGTCCAGTGTGGCCCTAGTTTTCACTTCCCGGCCTTCCAAAACGGCCTTAAGCCACCCAATGCCCTTACTAAGCAGCCTTGATTATGGAAACAGTTTCCACTGTGGTCTTGCCAAGTTTCAAAGTGCTGCTTAGCTAGATTCTCCCACCACCAGTTTTAACCGATTAAGCCGTGCTCCAATGTAAGAGTTGTGCGACAATAAATTTACTAACATTTCTTTCATGACAGACCTTGTATCTACCTCATTTCAGCTAAGCATTTGTATCAGCTTTGTTATGAAAAGATCTGACTACCGTATTTACTCGCGTAATCCTCGCACTCGCATAATTCTCGCACCCCCCACATCGCCCAAGAAAAATATGATTTTTTTTTTCCTCGAGTAATTATCACACCCCTGAACACTCCCGCAATAATGTCGTCTGCTCGTTCCAGCCATTGATGATGATAGCGGGTGCTATCTGGCGCCATCTCTTAAGCATCAAGCGTACTATTGCACGGAGATTCAATTCAATCCAAGCCAAGCCAAAGGGGCCAGCGCGTCACGGCGTGTTTTGTATGTTGTGTCGGTAATCTTGGCACGTTATGGGGCGATACTCTCTGTGTCGTCGTTTTGTTCTCGCGCTATAACTATCGTCATGCCATACCAATTAGCCCAAGCTGCCACACTTCTATGCCATACTGAAGCCACACGGCTGCTTCAAGTTGCAAGTAATAGATCATGCACTAAACAACGGCAACAGGGCCGCCGGTAGGCCCTTCGGAGCCTAAGAGTTTTGTGTTCGCTACTGGTGACGGCAGCTTAAAGCCACCTAACCGCGTTGGGCCTGCTGTGTGCCTAAAACTGGGATTGATGGTAAACTTTATTTCTTCAGAAGGAAATTGCGGACGATTCTGTTAAATAGCCATCAGCCCAATACTGACGTCCTACGCTTACCTTTTGAGCACTCCTGTTGAGCGCCGACCGCTACCGCTACGCCCCCAACGCCCACAAGCTTCGCGTATGGTATTCTAATTCTCGACTATTTGCTTCCACTTTTTGTGTCTCAAATAAATCTTGCCTTGTGTCGAACCTCTGCTTTTATTGTTGAGGTAAGTTCTAATTAGTATTTCTTAAAGCTTGCTGTAAGTTGCTGGTGTGAGAATCCCGATTTGCGGCCACTTCGTTTTCTTTTTCACTCTCTGCGTTTTCGTGGAAAGTTTTCCCCACGTAATTCTCGCACCCCCCAACTTTGCATCAGTTTTCTGGCAAAAAAAGTGCGAGGATTATGCGAGTAAATACGGTAATACTTTTTCTTGCTTGTATGGTATTTTTGTACTTTGCTATTATCTTTCATGATTTTTGTTCACTTTAATATCTTGATGCACAATTTAGGGCTGTATATTGCACACGAAAACTTGAGGTGCCATTTCAGTAGTGTATTCTGGTTCATATGGCCCATTAGAAGTACCAATAATATGGTACTTTTGTGGGAGTGTAAAAAAAAACGCTGGTTAACCTGATATGCTTGGCTTGTGCAGAACGCTTGGCCATCCATGGTGACAGCAACACGGTTCTCATTGGTAACAGGGAATGGATGCATCGTAATGGCATTGCAGTTGACATTGAAGTGAGCAAACTCATGGAGCAGCACGAAGAGAAGGGCCAGACAGCAGTGCTCTGTGCCATTGATGGTAATCAATCTCTTCACTTATCTACCAGTCATGCTGTCTTGTACTCATTGTTCCGCTTATGCCACTTAGAGCTGATGTGCTCTGATGTGTGCAAATGTGAACTGCACATTTCATGTGTGTGCTTGGGGCTGCACTCATTGGGTTGTAGGGATCATAGCAAAGACATGGCCTCTGAATGGGCATATTCCTGTCTTCCTGACCGTGTAAACTTGTGTGTTTGAAGCCCTGGCTTCAATAATGCTATTGCTGTAGTGTTGTTAGTTCATGTCATTCTGCCGTTTTGACCCTTTCATCTGATTGATTGATTGATTTGTGGGGTTTAACGTCCCAAAACCACCATATGATTATGAGAGACGCCGTAGTAGAGGGCTCCGGAAATTTCGACCACCTGGGGTTCTTTAACGTGCACCCAAATATGAGCACACGGGCCTACGACATTTCCGCCTCCATCGGAAATGCAGCCGCCGCAGCCGGGATTTGAACCCGCGACCTGCGGGTCAGCAGCCGAGTACCTTAGCCACTAGACCACCGCGGCGAGGTGACTCTTTCATCTGTTTTTAAACATTCATTGCCACGTGTACTATCTTTAAAAGTTATTTTACTTGACCATGTTCACCACTTTATCAAACGTATGTGGCTCCTTGTCTCAAGTCACTGTTTTTACTGCTTTGTCTTTTTTTGTGTTTTCTGATTCATATGCACAAACATGATGTACAATGTCTGACATGGAGAGGTTTTAAATTTTCAGCTATTGCTGTGAAAACAAACATCTTCATGAGACTGCTAAACTGCTTAGCATTCTATGTTAGCAAGGTACGATATGAAACAAACTTCGCTGCTTTTTATTTGACAGGAGTCCTTGTCTGCATGCTGGCAGTCGCTGACACTGTCAAGCCTGAAGCCAACTTGACTGTTTACACCTTGAAGAAAATGGGCCATGATGTCATTCTTCTCACAGGCGATAACAAGCGCACTGCAGCTTCGATAGCTCGTCAGGTGAGGACGGCGGCATTGTTCTTTCTCCAATCAGTTTCATTTGCCACTTTTTCGATGGCTGTTCATCATTTCGCACGTGTAGCACTACTTTGACATAAATTTTTTTCTATTATTTTGCTTAATCTGCATGTGTATTAGAGTTGTACTTAGCTGGCTTGTGCAAATATTTGAATGTTCAACTATTTCTCTTTTAAAATTTGCTTTGATTCGAATTTAAATTGGATATTTCAAAACATTCAAAATAAACAAATAGTAGGCGTACTATAATACCCCGCAAGTGACCCCTATAAAAGTGGTTTTGTTGCAGTGAACAGGTGCTGTGCCGTGAATTCAGGAAATATCAGCATCGTCCCTAAGCCCCACAGTCAAAATGAACGTATTACCCTCTCACCAAATCATCATTCTTTAAGTTTTAAAAGCTTGTTATACATGCTTATATGCTGTGACTATAGTCGAGCCCACATATAATGAACCTGAGCGTGACGCGGCATCTGTTTGCTGTATACCAAAGTTCGTAGGAAATGAAACACAGCTTTTAAAAAAAATTGCGAGTGAAAATGCAAACTTTTTTGCCCTCAAAAGTTCGCAATGCGCGTGTCTCGAAGAGCAGAAGCGATAAGGGCGGTCTGGATTTCATTTAAAAGGGCAGCATGCTCGTTCCCCGAGGCCCGTGGCATAAGCTGCATGAGGCACTGGCTCCAAAGTTTCGTCGTTCTCACAATCCGATTCCTCCAAACCGCTCTCGCCACGTACTTCATTCACAATGCCCCAATCCGTGCACGGTTCCGCAATGTCGGCATTATCATCGGCCGTAATTAAACCATCACAACAGATGTCCCACCGGCTCTTCCAGGTCGGAGTCGACGACGCACTGCCACAAATCGCCACACAGCTGTTCAGAGGCTTCAGGCTCGACATTGGGCCCGACATCGACGAATTCGGTTTCGCGAAAACAGTTTCTCGCGCATGTAGCCATCACCGCCGCCCACGAAATATTCACCATTTCCACAGCTGAATACTGGGACGCCCGAAGCGGCAAGTTGGGTCCAGAGGGTCAACAGCTATGAGCAAGCGCTCCGCAATGCGGCACTTAACGCGCTGACCACGCTCAAGCCAACCAGTCAGATTTTCAACGTTTTGTTGAGCGGCAGGAAAAGGCGTGCTAGTCCTCCTGTCTGCCATCATAACCACACACGCACACCAAGAGCGAGCAAGACGCACACACGTGACACACATGCCAGAAGGCATGGAACAGCTTTGGGCCTGTTTATAGTCAGAAAACGAAACTAATTCGAGCCAGCGTGGCGGGCGTCGCAAAGCGGAAGAGACAAGCGAAGGAGTTGTGATCAAGAGAGAAGAGCAGACTTGCGAGAGAAGAGCAAGAAGTTGCGATAAAGAGAGGGGAGGATGCGGTTGGAGGGCGACCTTGAAAACCAAAACACGGGAAGGAGGCAGGTTGGGTAGCTGGCTTCAAAAGTCCGCGAAACTCGCACGTAAAAAACTTGGAAAGAGTGCCTGCGCGCGCAGGAGCCAAAGCATGGCCACCTGGATCGGAGCGCGCGGCGGTGTTCGAAGAATCGGTGGCCGTGGTGAAAGAATTGTTTTTTTTTTTGCGCGGGCGGGATTGCGTGGCCTCACGAGCTTCCATACTTTGCGATTCGTTCCGCGCAAATTAACAGCCGTTCTTGCGCTTCCGCCCGTGCGCGGAAGGCATGCTGAGTTGAGTGCGAAGTGAGTGAGAACAAGTCCTAAACACGAAACGAATCGCAAATTATCAGAGTTGGTGTGGTAGTGTACGCACGTGCACTAGACGCAGACTATCGGATACAATCGGTGGCCGACGATGTTCACAAGTGGTCTGGTCACTCCGGGCCGGCGACACCAACAACAGTACCAGCGGTCAAAAACAGGGTAGATGGCCAACCGATCTTCGAAAGATCGGTGGCAGTGTGAAAACACGGGCCTTGTCTGGCGATGCGGGTTGCTCAGAGTAGCGGGGGACAAAGGACGGAGGGGTGCGTAACAAAAATCAGTAAGGGTATGGAGGAAAGAAACAGCTTTCCTTCCTCCATGGGTCGAGGAGAGCGACAACTAGAGGGTCGCGGAGGCAGCGTCGGCATTTAACAATAAGGATGTATGGGCACCTCGCCAATGCCTGATCGGTGGTCAAAATTGGTTTCCCGGCAAGTCGGCCGACAGCTGACTTCGTTCGCTGTAACTGATCAGTAGCGCTTGGAGACGTTCGTTGTAAGTGCGATTTTGTGCCATGGAACTAATTTATATTTTCACGGTCACGCGAATATTGTTCGTTTTAAGCAAAAGTTCGTTTTAAGTGGGACCATTATATGTGGGCTCGACTGTAGTAGATTTGAAAACATAAGACATTTTACAGGTTATCACTTGCATTCTACCGGAAGTTAAATCCTGCTAATATTGAAAGCTCTTTGCACTTCCTTTGAATCAAATAGAATGGCGTTTGCACAGACCCGATTTTAATTAAAAAAAAAAGCTATTGTGCAGGTTAGTTGGGCCGTGACAAATATGCCCATTTTTCTTTGTAATATGTGATAAGTATTTGAATTCGATTCAAAATCATTCAATCAAAGCCATTATTCACTTCGAACTTGCTTTGAACCTAAAATTCGCTGCAAATCCACTTGGTTAAAATTCAAGAAATAAATGTGCCCACAGCCCTCCGACAGTCACCCTTCAGCTGCGTAACCAAACCTACAACCGTCCGATTGGTAGATTCCGTCCCTGTCTGTGGCCCGTTAATCTTTCATCCATTTCAGTTCCTTTCCATTTGTCAATTAATATACTACAGTTTAAAAATACAAAATGTGCCTCTTATCTTCCTTAGCATCACTATGTGTTGGTGTCGTTAGAGTCTGTATAACAAAACAATTGAGCCCTTGATCTTAATCCCCCTGTTTTATTAAAATTCATGTGTCTCTTAACTCTTACATAGCATGTTTGGCATTCAGACCCCATTAAAACAAGATTTGTTGTTTGAGATTTCAACAGGCCAACACGCTGGTTCGTCACCTCATTTTCAGGTCGGAATCAAGCATGTCTATTCGGAGGTGCTTCCATCACATAAGGTGATGATGATTCGAAGGCTGCAAGAGCAGGGACGACGTGTTGCTATGGTAGGAGATGGAATCAATGACTCCCCAGCCCTGGCTCAAGCTGACATTGGCATTGCCATTGCTAATGGAACCGATGTTGCTGTCGAGGCTGCCGACGTTGTTCTCGTTCGTGTGAGTGTACTGACCACCCCTTCAAAACTCTCGAACGCAACCTGGCTCACTATTTAGCAGTATGTATTTACTTTTTGGTTACAGCGCAAAAATGATGACGACGGAAAACAGAAGGAAGACAACCGAACCGAGCGCAGACTCTCAGCTTCCAAGTTTTAATTGAAGAACACAATAACATAAAAAATAATAAAAAAAAGAAGCGTGTAAACATTGAGCAGAGGTGTTGAAAAAGAATATAAAAAGTTACACAGGGCATCAGTTGACGGCTCTTGTGCTGAGAAGATATGCGAACCCTTTTTCTGCGAGATGTAGCGATGTCTCACTGACGCATGCTTCACCCGTTTGTTTAGCATGGAAAGCGTCTATCACTTCCCTGGTTATCCGAGATCTGTGTATCGGCAAAGGCAGGGGAACAACCACTCGTGCTGCGGTGCGATGGCAGATGCAAAACGTTCAGATTCTTGAGCGCATTTCTGTGCTCTTTTAAGGGCACATTAATACAATGGCTACTCTGCCACATTAATGGATTAATTGCATTAATGTGCGCTTGAGAGAGCACAGAAGTTCGTTCAAGAATCCGAACGCTTTGCATCTGGCATCGCACTGCAGCACGTGTGGCTGTTCACCTGTCTTTACCAATACAGAGATTTTGTTGAATCACAGATTCCAGATAACTAGGGAAAATAATAGCTATATCTGACGGAAAAAGTGTTCACATATCTTCTCAGCACTCGTTTGGGTCCCTCCTTTTTTCTGTCTTCGTCGTTTTCATGCTGTAACCAAAAATGCATCTATATCAACTAGCCCAACTTTCAATACTATTATATATACTTGCTCTTAGACATGTAGTACTACGTAAACATATTTGCAAAGACTCATGGTTATAATTGCAGAGTACTGTACTTTGTTTTCAACTTAGGAAATGCTTAAAGGGGCCTTAAACTTTAATGATTCAGTCATTTTAATGGCTTGATTACAGATTTTTTCATAAACGATGTCTTTGTTAAGTTTCTCTTTTGGCTAACAAAGGTCCAAAAGGATGCTTGGCTAGCTAGAAACCTGCAAGAACATGCAAAACTGGCGACACTGTAAGGTCATGGAGTTTCGTATGAACTCGCTGTTACGTCAAAGATATTTACTGCAAACGCTAATCTCTATTGGTATTAATGAAATAAATTATGTTCTATCGAAATCTGAGACCTAGAATGACAGGTTTCAGAAAAACTTAGAGCCAGCTGGCAAAAAAAAAAAGAAAGAAAGAAAGAGAGGCAGAGAGACATTGAAATTCAGGGCAGCGTGGTGACGTCCTGGTGCTGAAATTTGACATGAAATCTGAAAGTGAAATATTGATGCACACTTGTTTTCTTGTCTATTAAGAAAGTTATTGTGACAAAATCAATGAATTTCTATTAGAGTAACTCGCTGGTATAAAATGATTCATTGTTTCACTGCAATGTCTATTCAAGTTTTGTTCAAGTTTTGCCGGTTCGTTATGTGATTATTTTGTTTCAGAATGATCTTCTTGATGTTGTCGGTGCCATAGCCCTCTCCAAAGCCACTGTAAAAAAGATACGCCTTAATTTCTTCTTTGCCACGGTCTACAACCTCGTTGGAATTCCACTGGCGGCTGGTACGTATCCTTCTAGGTCCCTCAAGTATTTGTGGTGATCCTAACTTATTGCTTTGATTAGGCAGCACTGAAAAACTGCTTTATGGTGAGGACATAGGCAGGCAGTGTCATCCAGGGTTTGTATCAAGGAAGTTGAGTTATGATTTGACCCTAACAATGCCATAAAATTGTTCGATTCCTAATCGATTCTAATTGAGGCAAATTTGGGTGTACTTTCGAACCCTAGCACAAATAACACCTGCATTAAATCTGTCAATGAAAATGAACACAAGTTGTCAACCACTAATTCCTTTGTAGCTTTTACCTTGCTGTTTCTTAGATTTATCTCTATGAATATGTTAATACTTTACTCACCACTTTCTTGTGATGCCCAATATCTGCGCCCAGCAAATAAGTGTCACATCTAAGCTCAAGCTACTTCGTCACCACCAATCTCCTCGCCAGAAAAAGTATCTATTGTACCACGATTGCATTAGTGAAGAAAGTGAAAAATGAAAGCATGAATATATAAGCTGCAGATACGATAATGTTGACCATACATGTGATTTGCTGCACAGGTGTCTTCATGCCCTATGGTCTCGTCCTCAAGCCTTGGATGGGATCTTTAGCCATGGCCATGTCAAGTGTCTCTGTAGTCACATTTTCACTCATGCTGAAGCTGTAAGTTGTTGCTTCGGCAAAGCTTGTCTTACCTTGGCTAAGTCATTTTTTATATAACGGTATTGTAGGCATGTTCTGTATGTGATTATCATATTTACTTGCATAATTTGCGCCCTCATATAATTTGTGCACCTCTGATCTTTTATGAGCTTTACAGAAAAAAAGAATATATATACTTGCATATTTTGCACACCCCTACTCGCTCAAGACCAGCTTGGCAAGGCAAGCGTGGGTGCGTGCCTTGCCTAGAAGGCGAGTGGGCTACTGTCAAAGCGCGGGACTACTTTCTGCACTGTAAGTGTGCAAGGGCCTGTCGCGCCAATTGTTCCCCCTGTTTTAAATGTCCACACTGCAACACACATTTAGATGATTTCGAAAGTTTAGGTTTGGCCATCTATTCGTCGCGTTTTGACTGTTATCTTGCTGATGGGATACAGGAATTATATACACGAAAAAATTAAAGCTCGCCAAAGAAAACGGGAACTCTTCAGCGTGAAGTTATTCAACAGTGTGACAATCGGTGCAATCGGTACAGGAGAATGCAGACTTATTTTGCACAGTTCTCTGGCTCTTTGGGAGTCTTCTTGTGACAATCATCGGTGTTCTTAGTATGATGACCAAGTAATTAAGTATTAAAAAATTATTTTTCTCTTTAGTGCCCCTTTAGGTGCTGGAAACATCCCTTTTGCAAAGGTGGTTCCACTATCTTGTGCGGGCTTGTCATTGTGCTTTTCTTGTTTTTCTGAGAATAAATGAATCCTTTAGTTTTTTTATCATAGTCATTTTAAGATACTGCACTGTAAGTGTCACTTGTGAAAACCTTGTCTTGCCAGAAAATTACTTTTGTTTATCGAAAATGTTGCAGCTTGTCTCACTGAAGGTTATTGCTCCAAACTAGTTGCTTGCTGCTATCATGACCTTAGTGGCAGTTACAGGCGGCTGATAGTGTCACTGTGGATAAGTTAAGGTGCGAAGCATGAATACAAATGGGCAAATTGTGGACATGAGTCGGAAGAGTCGTGAATTTCGAATCCCAAATTATAGATTCCCGCATGGTTAGTCTACACAAAAACGTAGCAATTCTACTGTGCTATGAAGTGTGCAGCACGCTCACAAAAGCTTAACTGTGTGGCTTCTCACTAGGTTTAAGAAACCAAGGCGGGCTACCCTGGAAACACCTCAATACCTCTCGGAGCTTCAGTGGCAAAGCAACTTTCGTGGTTCCAACTATGACGACCTGTCTCTCCACTGCGGTCTGGATGATGTGCCTGCCAGGAATGACGCCCAAATAAAGTCATCCATTCGTGGTTCGACATTTGCCATATTCTTCAGCAGTCTGCGAGACAAAGCCGAAAAGGTGAAGCAAGGGCACCTTTTAGGTCAGGATGAGGAGAACATAGACATCGGCATGTAGATTGAACTTGTGCCCAACCACTGCTGACCGCAGCTGTTATGTGTGCTTCTCAATGTGATAATGGCCAGATTGAAGCACGATTAGTCAACTACAAGCTGGCACGGCTTGGCGACTGACCACCTCACGGCCACATACGAAATAGGTGCGTCAATTACAGTACATGTTCATTCTGGTGTTGCTAACTGGCACTGTTGGAAAGTCCAAGGTACATCCAGGAGAGTCACTGATGGCATTTCGCTGCTCTTGAGCTGCTATTCACGTATTCCTGGCTGCCAGCCTCTTTACGGAGAACAGTTCGTTCGTTCAAGGCTGCTACTGTGGTGCGACATATGAGCATGTGTGCGATATATTTCATGGAGAGCTTTACAGCTGGATGAACTGGCTTTCCAACTTAACAAGCCTGGTTCTTGCTTCTGCGGCACTGCTGTGACCTGGTTGCCTTATCAGGAATCTAGATGGAATATTTCAACGCATCAATGCAGTATGTTGATATCACAGCTGGAAGCATTTACAGCATGGGACTAACAGAGAACTGTTTCCTAATGGTAAATTGTGAGACGATTTGTTACTAAGATAGTTACCAATGTGCTACGTGGATGATGCATAGTTTTGTGAAGGAGTTAGCAGGCGTGATTACTTATGTACATGAAACCATATCTTAAGATTATAGCAACTTGTCCTTGAAAGAATTGAGACATCGCTTTGTTTCTCAACTCGCATGTATTCCGCGAATGTGACCTCTCTCAGATATAAATGACAGATTGTATGGGAATGGCGAGATGTGTTGTATTATAATATGCAAGAAGCACTTGCAAAAGCTGAAGATGAAACGACGTGCCAAAATGAGATTAAATGCATTGAGTACACAGTCAACTCGTGAGAATTCAAACCTATTCAAGTTTGGGTTTATTTCAAACAAACCTGAAGCTTTCATTGCCCTGATGTGGTATCATGGCATTATAATACTACGAAGTTAGAAAAAGCCTTTATTGTATGGGGTTCCATGCAGCATATCTTTAATTTTGCAAGTAAACATTTACAGTTGCCTTTTAGGGCTTTGTTGAGAGCCTGGACAAAGTTTTGCTCACCTAAGCACAGCAGAAAGATGTACGATATCACACGGATGATTATCTCTGCTTTCCTGTTGTACATCAGATGCTATCATGATCTCGGGAATCAGGTCTTGTTTATCTCTAAAACAAATAGTTTCAAGATTATTTAGTGGTCAAAAACAACTGGCGCTAGCCCAGAAAGAGGAGAGTTGACAATTTAAGTGGCAGGAAAGGTGAATCATAAAGATAAGAAAAAGAAAACCGAGGCGTGCTTCATTGTGGCTCTACTCTGAGCACGTTAAATGGCATGGGAACACAGCTGCCAGTGTACTAACTTTGTACGCCTATATTTACTTGTGTCAATGTCTACGTGTGCCTAAATCTTTATGTAGGCCTATATTTATGCGTATCTAGATTTGTATCTATATATTCGTTTGCATAAACTTGAAATTTAGTGTGGATTTCAGTTTATTACGCCTTACACTACTCAAGCAAAGGTATGACGGAGGTTGAGTTAACATGAGTCGACTGTGACTCAGCTGATTTTGTATGCAATTAACTTTGTGAAGCTTGAGGGGACCTATACTAGTCTTCACATCACTTCACAACTGCCATATTGAAGTATGAAATTGCTTTTATTTGTTTTGTCGGGTGGACCGCCATAATATTGGCTTGATGTCGCTACTTTACAACATAGTATTTTTTAAGCTATCTTTTATCGGGCAACCATATACATGCCTGGTTAACTTACAGTTCGGACTTTTTGCGAGCTTGAAGATTATTGATGCGTTATTCTGATTGCACAAAATGAGCACAAATGCTGCGAAGTAATATTTCCAATATTTTTGTGTATCGTCATATTGAACGTGCATTTTTTAGTGGTTTATGTGTAATATTTTGTGTGTAGAACTTGTGCCGTGAAAACTGACGACAGTGTTGTGTTCACAAAACAGGCACTCGTGAAACCTGGCATCTATCCATGAATGGCTTCTGTAGTGTCAGAATAACTTGAATGTTATGTATATTTTTACACCTTTGTGTGTGTGTTACGATTATAAATTGCACCTCAGTGGCTGGTGTGTACTTGTGAGCTTTAAGTCATGACTGCTGTAATGCATGAGCGTTTCATGGCATTATGTCGTTGGCATATTTTATTGTGAACTCTTGAATCTGCCACTATTTATTCCGCTATTGTATTGTGTTCAATACTATTTTCAATTATTATTTGTAACCTGGCACTAACAATGATTCAGTGAAGTTTGCTAATCCAAGCTCATAGTTGCACAAGACTTTATCATCATTGAACTGGCTTTGGCATTGCAGTATAAATATTTTTTAATGGCTTGATTTTATCCATGCTCGTGTGCCGAACTATTGTGCTGTGTCACTCAAAAATAACCCCATAAAATCTGTGGGAACCCTATAGCTATGCAAAAGGTTTAGCTTTTCTGTGCCCAAACTTGTGTACTGAACAGAACCTGAAGGGACCAGGAAAATATGTTTCGGTTAACAAGTGATCCATTTACTGAAAGGTGAACAGATGTGCGGAATTGAAGTCTAAAACCAATCACGCTAGATCAGTTAGATACAGTTATTGCATACAAGCAGCAATTTTATTTGAAAGAGATTTCAATTTACTGAGAGTCTACTGTTATTGCAGGATGTATGCGACTTCTTGTAACTGTTATGTTATACAAGTGCTTCTTCATGCAGAAAAGAAAAGGATTTTGTGGCTGAGAAGTATATGTGGGACATACCTGCAGGCACTAAATTAAATTTCAGCTAACTGCATTTGCTTTCAAGATTTGATGTGTTATGTTGGTGTTTGGTCATTACACTATTCATGAGTTGAACATGATTAGAAAACAAAGAACTTAAGGAGGAGTGTCATGAATGCGAGGCTCTTAGAATGCCACTTTAATGAAATAGATTTACATTTGCAGTTTACTAGACCTATTTATTTAATCTCCCATATTGTCTGCTGCCCCTATGTGAAACTTTAAAATATTAGTTACATTTGATTGTAGATATGGTAGTCTTATAAAATTGTATCATTCGAACCGAATGGAAAATGCAATGTGCTATGGCACTGTCAGATAGTGTTTGGATCTTTTGCATTGCAATTTATTATTACTAAGTGCTGTTTGTGCTTTATTCTGTGTTGTGTTGCTACGTGCATGCATTCTCAGGTGTGTTAGTACCTGTACAGAGCTTTTATAAATGTATGTAGTTACTTTCGAGTGCTCTCAAGCCTGGTTCAGAGGAGAGTGTGGATAATTTTGCTTATATCGCACAAGTAAATTGTGAATGAACAATGTTTCATCTTGTTGGTATGAACCAGTCGCTATAGTTTGTGTAGGTGATTGTCTGGTGCGATACGGAGAGTAGCATTGCTTGTTATATTGTCTAAACTGGCTACTGAATTAGCCCGTGTTCTCCCCTTGTTTGAACCCCATCAAGCATAGTGGAAACATCGTGATAAAGTCGCATTGGAGGAACTGGGGTGGCTATCTCCTGGCAGATTGGTCCCCGATCGAAAGTGTTGCCTTGCCCAATCTGTTTTTCTCAAGGACGGTTTAAAATATGCACAAGGTAAAATTGCAAATATTTAGGTACCACTAAGGCTCACTCGCAAAGAAAAAAAATACGATAAGACAGAATGGAACGCCAGAAAGTTATGTTGTACAGGATTCAGGCCTGCCTTGCAAAATGTGCACCTGTTGTAGCTACCTTACTAATTTCACCGGGTTCTTCTATTTCCCGGCTTCATGTCTTGGATGCTACTTTCATAGCGTGTAATATGCTGTTCCAGACAATTGGGTTTTAATGAGGATTTTGTTCAGAATGTTATTCAATTGCAGTGATTCTTAGAATCAGGTTTAATAGATTCAGGCCCAGATAATTTTTACAAAAGGATAATGCTCTCGGTTATTTTTTTATGTGTCATTTATATTTGCTTCCCTAATGTATATTATTCATTTATTGCAATATTCTAGTGCAATTCTCGCATTCTTATTTTAACTTCCCGATTTCATTGTTTTGCACACCTTTATGCACCTTCGTACAGCGTTTCTTGCGGAGTCGGAAGGATGAAGCAATAATACGTGCGAGCACTACCGCTTTCACTGACGTAAAAGTAGTCCATACAACATGCTGACACTCTGTGCCCATATGGTGCATAGCATAGGGCCTAGAAACTCCGAGATATTCTGCATGTGGTTCAACGTTCCACGTCTCTCAAACGCTAATGGTAGACGGTATGCCCCCGCCGTAGTTGCAGGATAATGTCTATTTTACTAAGAAAGCCTCGAGAATAGTACGTCGTGATTCAGTGTTTTGTGTTTCTGATTGCAGTAGTGTAACAAAGAAAATAAGCTTGTGTTGCGTTAGGTACACTTGTGAAGGTGTGTTATGCCTGTCCTTCCTGAACATGAGACTGCGCCCAAAAAATATTTTTTCTTTGTGTTTTCTTTTAAAAAGCCCTGTGATATAATAACTAGTGCACACTCAGCTGATGATATTTATAGCGCACACAATGTCAGCTACAAGCTGCAAAGCATCATAGTATTGTGACTGCTGTTTAACACAGAAATGGTGCTTTTTTTTAGTATTGCTTTTAATATACTTTCATTTCAGTACAGCACATTTTCTAGAAAAGGGCAGCGTAGGTGATGAGAATGTCTTTTGTTATATTTTGTAGCAATAGTCTGCCTATGTTTTCAATGTTTTTATAGTGATAACGAAGGCCAATGTAAAGCCAACCTGAAGTAAAGGGTTCACCATATTGAAGGTTAATTTCAGGAGCAATATTTTCACAAACAAAAGCTTCGTTTCACAATTATTTAGAACTATAGATATGACTGGTGCTGTCTCAGCGAAAATACAGTAGTATTTGCTTATGCAGTCTGCATTTATAATTTGACAGGGCATCATCCCACCAATTCGAAACGGAGTTGATTGCATGGTTCTCATCATGAATATGCTGAATATCTTTAGTAGATTTTTGGTATACCTTTTTGATGCAGTCTTTATGACTTCTTCTGTGTTACGTTTTGGAATGTACCACTGCCTGCATGTAGCCCTTGCACTTGATAAACAGACATGAATGCATTGCCGAGTGTATAAGATCAAAAGTGGAGTCAACGTAGGAGAACAGGCTCATTGTGGGTAATTTGAAGGGTACAGGAATTACCATAGTCCCCTTCAGTCGTGATATTCTCTGCTCACAGCCAACACTTGTATTGTCACGAGATGAAAATTGCCACCTTTTCTAAGAGGCCTATGTAACGAGATAGATTGATTTCATGTTTGCCTTGTCCCTTTCAAGGTTGGTGTGCAATGTTAGGGGTGATGAACTCTTTGGGACCAATGCTCCAGACAGACACTTGTGTTGATTATTTAAAAGCCAGGATGACAGCAGTGAATCTAGCATCCTTGACAGTAATGTCATGATGGAGATGTAGGAGCTACACCTAACTTTTATAAAAACACTAGTGCCAGGAGAGTGCGTTATCTCAGCAGAGAAACGGTATTGCACACTGCATTTACACTCGATGCTTACAGCAACATTTTATTTTGTGTATTGCTTTCTGATGTTAGTAAAAGGGCGTGTATTTGTTCATATTTATTTTGTTTGTGTGTGCACTTTTCAAACTTTATTAAAAAAAAGCTGTATATGTACCATCATTGCACACGAGTGTGAATTCCTTATGGTCATTTGGTGGCTTGCGAGCAGGTATGCACGATTATTAGTCACAGTATAGTTGTGTATAAATGAGGTTCATTCAGTTCCTGGGCTCACAGCAGGAAAGGCAAGTGCAGAAGATGATGCCTACCTTTCCCTTTGGGTTTCTTTAGCCTCTGCCGCTTTTCATGTACTATCTGCGTCAAATGAAACTGGAACAGCGGAAAGCCTTTGTGATGGTACAGTACACACCATCCACTTGTCACCATGGCCAGGCACAGGCATATGCACAGAGCTGCCCAACAGGATGGGGGCGCTTGCCAGTCGTGGTAACTGGATGGTGCGCACTGTACCATCGCGAAGGCTTGCCGCTGTTTGGGTTTTATTCGACAGTGATAGTACTTCTCATGTCTTGGGTATGCAGTGCTCAAAGGTTCTGGCATTGGAAGTAAACTGGGATGAGTAAGTGCCTTGAGTTATAACCCCATACATCAGTTGCTCAGGTTGACAATGTGAACAAATCTGAAAAATACCTGTGCTCCTGTAGAACAGCACGGTGACGGTGGAAATTCGTATCGAGGGATTGTATAATATTAAGTCGTATAACTTAGAACTTCTTTAAAATGCGAATGCATTTTTTGTCGGGCTATGTCAGGCATCCGGCGTTGTCTGCGGCGCCGCTGTCACTCTCTGCTCTCACTACTTCAGCCATAGCAACAGCTGCCGCCGCGCGCGCTTACCCTCGCCTCTAGCAACCAGAGCATGTGGTGCGACAGAGTGTAGGAGAGGGTAGGTGCAGTGCTTCGCCGCTCCTCTCACCGGTCGCTCTCTCTCCTCCCTGTGCCCCACTTTCCCGTCCGCTTGCGCCTCACTTTCGACCGTTCGCTGGCTGGGCGCCACTCAAGAACATCCGGAAATGTGTGCTCGGGACGCCGCTGTGAAACGCCAACGCCGAGCCGAGGACGCTGTTTGTTTTGTTGACTCCATAGTATTTTAAGTGTGAATACACTTTATAAGCGACCCCAAACCATCCACCGCCGTCGGCGGCGTCCGCAGTCTTCTCTCTATCTTTAAAAGAAACAGGACTTGGCGGGCCGCAGCGCGACGCTCTACCGAATAAGCCACGGACGCGACGCTGATATCGGTGTCAGTAACGCGCCTTATAGCCCCTCCCCATTCGCTCGCTCCTCCGCTCTCCTCGCTCGCTGCAGCTGCGCGCGCACCCCTCTCTCTCGCGCGCCCGCCTTCTCTCTCAGTCTCCCGTCGAGAGCGGGTCGTGAGGGGGAGTAAAGTTAAAATCCGTTGGCATTCGCCAGTGAGTTAACGTAAACTCCCCCGTGTGATCAAATTGCGTTTCCCAGGAACCATTACACCATAAAGGCACCATAGTGTGATTAATAAATATAATAGTGCGAATTAATGAATACCCCTCATAGCATCACCCCGTGTATTCGCACTTAACCATGTTCACCCTCGGGGAAATGCTTGGGAGTTTTTTTTTAACCGTGCACGCTAGCTATAGAGCTGGAAACGCTTACCGCGTTTCTCGCGATGGAAAAACGCCACGTGGGGTGAACGGCACTATTGGCTGCACGGTGTAGAGCTTATACGTCCCCCGCTCACTAACGACGGTGGACTGACAGAAGGTGAAAGTCGCGTCGCGTTAGCAAATTGACCGTTGAATGAAAGATGCGTGGCTATAGTGTACTTAGACGTCAGCGCTTTCTAAAGTTAGCAAGAAAATGACAGTAGACGATGACTATGCGTGAGAGGTCCAGGAGAGGAGGCAGCACGTTGGTGCTTTCGTCGTCAGCACCTGGTGAAATGGGCAGTACAAAGCGTTGGCATATATATATATATATATATATATATATATATATATATTATATATATATATATAAAAGGGAAAGAAGTGTATACCTAAGGGCTCGTTTTTCCGTGTTTTAACACAATATTAATGAGATCAAACAGACAGTAATGCCAAGGAATGTACAGGGGAAGTTATTAGAAATAATGAAATGTAAATAAGAAAAAAGAAAAGTGGATGAAAAAATAACCAGCCGTGAGCAGGAAATGGTCATGTTTCGCTATGTATGCAACGGAACGGCGAAAAAAAATTCGGGAGGGCGGGGGTGCCTGGGGCCCGGTTTGCCACCCCCTACTACGCCACTGGCACAAGCCACCGAAATAGTCTGGTGAGTGGTAACACTGGTCTCCCCCTCCGTTGGTGTCATTCGTGTGAGCGGGGGATATTTCTGGGCATGGGGAAAAAAAAAACAACTCATTCCTTCCTCCGTGTTTGTGGGGAATTCTCGCAACTTGCAAGCTGACGTCGTTAAGCTCCGCCTTGATCTCTCGAAGATTGGTCCCCTTAAAAGTTCAGCGGGGTGTCTCGACAGCGTCGCCTTGTTATTGGTATTCCTTCCTTTGTAGAGGAACACAAACTGCTCTTCCAAGGAAGTTTTAGCTGTGGGAAAGTTATTGGCCGTGGTAAGCTTTCAAATATTCGCGCTACTGTGACGTACGCCGACGGGGGCGATTCGCAGGGTGCCCAAATATCACGCAGCAGGAATAAGCAAAAAAGGGGAAAGTCGTCACGTGAAGCACAGCTATGACATATTGTTCCCGCTACCGTAGTAGCCAGCAGAATTTTCTTTGTTAATGAGGTTTAATCAGGCTATGATGATTAATTATTCAGCACTGATTACTTTCTCTAGTCAAAAACTCGCCTATTCATTAAAGTTTCGCAGTGTAGGCATGTTCAAATGGCATCTAAGTGTGCTCTTTAGAAAAAAAAAACAATTATTTTTTACTGATAAAGCCCGCGAAGTTATGGAAATGACGGCGACTAGAGAGAAAGAGAGCAAGGTTGTTGATGTCCTTTACTGACGTAGGGAAGAGTGTCCCCCTCGCCCACCCAATGCCACCCAGACTATCAGGGCTGCTCACTGCCACCGTGACGTCACTCATGTTGCCCGAGCGAGTGCTCGTACGGGAGCTACCAGTAAAAGATAAAGCGTTGGCGGCAAGGTTTACACGCTCAACAGTTTTATTCCGCCTTTGGAGTCAGAAAGGGCGCTGGTTTAAGTATTGTATTGCGCTTCAAAGCATTTACAGATTCACGCGTGAGTCGTTTCTTCCACGAAGAAGTCGAAGGATTATGCGCTATCGGAACGTGTATAGTCGATCTACAAGAGGAACATTTGAAGGACCAACAATGTGACGAAATAAATAAGCCGAACTTTATTCATTACTCATTGATTTGCACGCGCGCACACACACACACACACACACACACACACACACACACACACACACACACACACACACACACACACACACACACACACACACACACACACACACACACACACGATGTATAGAGCATGCATAGAAACTGTTCCTACTCATCTGGAAAGTTTCTGCAGTTTTATCTGTACTCTTCCGAACATCTGTCTTCATAGCCACGTAGTTATTGAGGAGAGTTTGCGCTGCTGCCACAAGTATGTTATTCGGCATATTATCAGGGTCAGGACCATTGCAAGAGAAAACAAAGTCTTTCGTTTCACAAAAAATCTTTTGACAGGCACAAGAAGCGGCGTTGCCACTTTTTCTGTTGGCACTCTCGCAGTGGAGCGTATACATATATAGTCGGTCATATAACTTAGTTCCTGACAAAAATGTTAGTACTGGGTCTATATTGAACCGTGTAGGCCCAGTGGGTGGTTCTAGTTCACTGCCGGTTCTTGGATCGGTATATTTAGGTAGAGGTTCCTAAATATTCTAGCTTGAATTAGAAATCTCACCTGAAAACCAATTAGGAAAACGCTTTACCGTAAGTGTCTACAGGCATCTAATTTTCAAGAAAACATGTTATGCTAAGATGCTGACCGCAATTAAGTGGTATGAATATCGGCAAAAAATATTATACAGAAAACCGATGCATTAAGTCGTATTCCTTCCCTTTTTATCAACCAAGTGAGCTGAAGTAATACAAGTTCATGACGCTAATCGCCAATAGCAAAATGTTTACCGACCCTGCGGACCGGTTCTAAACATGTACTGCCACGCGCATTTATCATTTTACTGCCACGGCTTACGCCAAAAAGTCAGCACACACGACACCTTTATCTTGGAGCAAGAACGGAACGTGTTGGATATGGGGCCATTGGAACCAATTATAAATATCGTTGCACACACGTACCTTCAGGTCACGAAGAAGACAAATGTCGACGTCATCTTGATGAGTCATCTTGACGTCATCTTGACTGTGCCGCGACAATTCGCAACGCAGCATCGCCCAACCGTTCGGATTCGTAGCCATACACACAGTTTGCGAATATCCAGTGCACAAAACACATGTACCACATATTCACGCTACAGTTCGCGTACACAGAAAAATACGATCTTCTCGAGTCGCCAACAAGTACACCATCGCGCCACGAAAACGTTCGTCGGGCTTGCCAATCCACGTCTGTCGAGCGACGAGACGTCTGTGCAGCGAAACACGCCGGTCACAACGGAGTGACGTCAGAGACCGAGGCAGACACAGTGAGCAGGCCTAAAGTTATCTAGATGCCATTGGCTCACCCGGCTATTCCCAAGTGGATACCGACAGGCCTAGTCTGCGGGCCCTGTGTATAGGAAGGCTAATATTTGGTCTTGAGAACTCGCGCTGTGCAGCATGGCTTCCCATCTGGGCTTGCTGTAGGTCAGGCCTATAGTGACCCACACTCCAAGGGCATGTGAGCTATAGAGTATCGACGAGCTAGACTGTTGGGTGTAGTAGAGTTGCTGTATAAGCAGCTTATAGAGTAACCGTACAGCACGCATCAGAAAGCAGCGCCGTCAAACAGGATCACTCAGAGGTAGCAAGTCAAGATTACTTTGCGGGTAGGAGCGGAGTCAAGTGATATTTTCCATATTTCGCATGCTGTCTTTATCAGTCGAAAAAAAAAAATGAACGCGTAATTAGCGCGTTGCTGAAAATAGCGTAGTTGGCTGTCA